AAAAGAGAGAAAATAATGGTAATGGTGTGGTCAGTCAAAACATTTTAACAGCTTCCCATTATTATAATAATAATAATAATAATAAAAGTAAGAGTTTTATGTAGTAAACTTAAACACAAACATTTTGTAATTTGAAAATCTGTTTTTTTTGCAGTTACTTAATAGAACTGATGATTCATTCTGATGGAACAATCATCGTTCCGGTGTTTTTTTTTCGTTTATTTTATTGTCATTTTTTTTTGTTAGTAGAAATGGGAGAGAAAAAAGTGGTAAGAATTTTTTTCTCTGCTCTATACATTTGTACATTTGCAATAAGGTGATGATAGATAATCAATTGTAAAATTTAAAAAAAAATGACAAAATTTTTTTTCATCAACCATTAAGCTGTTTGGTTGGCTGGCTGGCTGTATTCTTAGATAATATATACAGATATAGACCATTTATTTTTGTTTTCTCTTTGATCAAGTTTCATTATATCCATAAGTGTTTTACGTTTTGATTTTCGTTTCACTTGTTGATGATAATGATGATGATGATGTGGAATGAAATATATACATGAGCTAGCAAAACAACAACAACAACAAAAAAATTTCCTCAATCTATCCAATGTTCGTCTATTACGATGTTTGGCACATTCATTCTTTCATTTCATTCATTCATTCATTGATCAGAATGGAAACAAACAAACAAAAAAAAAATTGCTAAAATTAGTCTTTGTTCCTTGTGTGTGTGTGTGTGTGTATGTTTTATATGTACGAGGTGAATAAACAATCTGTCTATTGGTTAACTATCCTACGGCGGATATAAACACGAAAAACTATCAGACTACGATCAGATCATCATCATCATCATCATCAACTTGCATTAATGGATATTATATATATACGATATATACGGTATATATAACGGGTATAGTTAGATATAACAACAATAACAATATCAACAAGTAAAAAAGAAGAAGAAAAAAGGGAAAAAATTGCCAATCTATTACCAGTTCAGAGAGTAAAAAAAAAAAATAGCAATTGCATTTAATTGCCCGATTCATTTTTGTCTAATTTTAGAGTGAAAAAAAACATTTGAAAAAAAATAATCAATTTTCTACTCTCTCTTCCTTTCATTCTCTATTGGTCAGCGACCGGACTTATTCATTCATTCATTCATTCGTTAGACGAAAATTAATTTGCATCTGATTATCAACAACAAATAATTATAAAATTTATTTCATTTCATTTTTTTTTCTTTGCTGTTCAAATTTAAATCCATATATACAAATGGATATGAATGTAAAATGTGAATGGTAAAAATTTTCCAATGCATTAATGCTAATGATGGTGCAAATGTATGTACATTAATTTAAATGATGATGATGATGATGATAGACTACGAGATGATTGTAAGACAGGAAAGCAATAATAATAATAATAATAAAATGGTAGAAAAAAAAGTAAAATTTTATCATTATCATCAATGTGGATCTTTTGCTCGGCATTTTTTGTTCATGGATGTTTAAACTTGTTGTTGTTGTTGGTGTTGCAATAATAAAAATGAAATAAAACTATTTCATTTTTTGTGAAAAATGAAAAAAAAGTGATGCTTGAAAACAATGGCAATAACCCTTTTTTTTTTTTTTTTTTCGAGATTGTTTTTGATTGATGATGATTGATAAAAAAAAAAAAAAAAAACAAAATATCAAGTAGTGAGGACAATAACACGAGAGATTTTATTACATGGATCTTTTTTTCATGTTTTCTCATAATAACCGAATGATATATATTTGAATCAAATCAGTATGGCCACTCACACACACACACACACACATCATTACAATTACAACAACATCACTTCATCACAAAATACAATCTTTCACCTTTGGTGCTTTTGTTGTATTTTTCATTTTTCATTTTTTTTTGCTGTTGTGAATTAGTATGACATAATTTTGTGTTAAATGTTTTAGCCAGACGTATTGATTCATTTTTTTTTTGCCAGATATGTCGTAGTTGTTGTTGTTGCCGTTGTTGATGATGATGATCATCATGTATGGAACTGTTTGGCTTTCGTTCCTGTGGTGTATAACAATTTCATTTAATTTAAATTCGAGACGCATAACGAATTCATTCATTTTCAAATTTCCCATCTAAACCTCTCTCTTTTTTTTTTTTCATTTTGATTTTACTTGACTTCATTCAAAATTCATTTCATGAAAAAATAATCAAAAAAAAAAAAAAATCTTTTCATATAATTACAATTGTCAATTGTGTGTGTGTGTGTGTGTGTGTGTTTGTGTATGTTTAACAATCTTGGTGGTCAAATATATGTTTGCCACTGATACAATGATTGCGAGAGAGAGAGAGAGAGGAAAAAATGAGATATTAAACCAGAAACGAAAATGAAAATGTGTCCACGACGATGATGATGATGATGATGATGGTGATGGACATCGATCGTTCGATTGATTGATTGGTGTTGCCTGTGAGCAATTTTTTTTTTGTTTCTTTTTAGAAACATCATCATTATTATTATAATTCAAGTCTATATATGAGGCACACAATAATATTATTATTATTATATTGAACACCATACCTATTGATGATGAACATGTGTTCTAAAATCGATGGATCAATCAAATGAGATCATATATCGGTTTCTAATATATCAAAAGTGAAAACTATTGCCTTGTAATAATAAATGAAAAAATAATTTGAGAAAAAATTTTTTTTTTTTTTTTGACAGCAAAAGTAGTCATTATTATTATTATTATTATTTCATCATTTTTCTTGTCCGGTAAATTTTCTTTTACATTTCTTTGGTTGGTTGATTCAATCCCAAATAATATTTGTGGTCAATATTTTTTTTTTTTTTTTTTTTTTTGACAACAACAGATAGTAATTATTGATGAAGTGTACAATCAATATCATTAGATCATATGTCTTGAAAATGTCTAGCCAATATAACTGAGATGATAATGATTATCGTAGTCAATCTTTCTCTCTCACTGTGTGTATGTATGTGGGAGAGAAAAAAAAAGAAAGAAAAATTAAAACTCAATAGTACATCAAAATGTTTTTCTTACCTATACCAGATTTTTTGGATATCCATTTTCAGTATTCACTATAGTACAAATCAAATTCATCATTCGAAATCAATAATAATCAAATGAAATGACTAGATGAAATGAATAGTTGCCAGATTTTGTTGTTTTTGTTTTTTTTGTTTTTGCAGTCGATATTCATTTTCAATTTTTCTTGTGTGGATTTAATAATAACTACCTGACAAAAAGAATATTTGTTTTATATATCTTCAAACCTTAAAGATGAAATGAATGCGAAAAAAAAATCGTTATGATAATCATATCTTTTGGATGTTAATGAAGTTTATTACAATAAATGATTTTTCTTGGTTTGTCTATTTGTTTTTTGTTTTTGGTTTCGGTTGTCCAAATATTCACCGATAATGCATAACAATATTCGATAGATACATCGAAATAGACATTGATCAATTTCATTCATGTCATGTTGATGATGATGATGATGATGATGTTGGTATTCAACATGTAAAAAAATGAACAAATCATCATTTTTAATATATATACATGTTTTACGAAACAAAACTAAAAACATTCAGGTAGCTGACATATAACTTGTCGGATTTGATGTTTTCACCACATGTTTTTTTTATATACATGTAAATATTGTTGGCAATATAGCGAAAGTTAATTTTTATTATTATTATTATTATTATATACTTTCTTCAATCTGTTTTGTTGTTGGAATTGTTTTGGTCATCATCGTCATCATCGTCATCATCGTCATCATCATCATCATCATCATCAACATCATCATAGTTAATTATTATTCGTTTGTTGTTCAAGTGAAGAGTGAAAAAAAAATCCATTCAAAAAATTCGTGACGACAATTTGGCAATGTTGTTGTTGTTGTTGTTGTCATAGTTGTCATCGTACCTTGTACCGTAAATGATGGTCGTGTCTTCATCAAAACAAAAATGATGTTTTTTTCGGGTTTGGTATTTTTTTTTTTTTTTTTTTTTTTGAAAATTTTACAACTGATTATATTTAAACTGGCTCCATTTATTTAACATTTAGAATAATATAAAGGTGGTGGTCCACATTCTGTTCTACAATATATACTTGTCATATTCAGGAATTTCAATTCAACAAAACAAGACAATGCAATACAAGACAGTTTGATGTTTCTTTTTTTTTGTATTGACACCAATAAAATCAAGCCATAATAATAATACAAAATAATCATGAATACTTGGTAATAACAACAACGCAGGAAAAAAACCAGATTCATTTTTTGATACAATTTTTTTTTCTAATGGACTCATTTTCTTATGTTGTGTGTTTGATAGAATAATATACTAATATATATCGGTTTTGGTAAAGAAAAACGAAAAAAATGATCTTAAATTGTGTGTGTGCGTTTGTGTATGCCATCATATTATCTGCGATAAAATATATTGATTGATGGTCGTCGTTGTCTTCTTTTCTTTTACTTTTATCTTTTGTCTATTATTTGATTATTGTATGTTTTCTTTCAATAATTTTTTTTTCATTTTTTTTTTTTTTTCTTGAAAACTATAGAAAAGCATCATATTGTTGTTGCTTTATGCAACATTAATGGCCATAACAATACCTATAGTATATTCGAATGAAATGATTGAAGATAATAATGAAGAAAATGGTTCAATGCTACAAAAATCAGCATCACAACAATATCCATCGTTTGAATCTTCATCATCTAATTTTGATCAAAGAAATGAAGAATTTGGATTAAGAAAATCTAATCCATTTGAATCACATCAAATGAATATGGATAATAATGATGGTGATTATTCAACACAACAATCTCAACATCAATATGATACATCAATGAATGATGGCCAAAATAATAATAATAATAATAATGGTGATTCATCAATGCAAAGTCCATATCGAGAGTTTGGACCTAGTATTTATAATATGCATACGATACTCAATCATATGGACAAAATGATGGTTCAGAATCCAATCAAGAGTCCGGATCATTTACACCTGTTTCATTATCTGTTGATGAAGCATTTAGAAAATATTTTCCAAATGAAAAAGATGCACAAGATGGACCATATTCACAACAATCACAAGGACAATCCATGGATGGCTATTCAAATCAACAGGTATGATTTGAAAAAAACAAAAAAAAATTGAATATGCATTTCTAACACATAACACACTGGACTTGCCCTTTTAAATCAAAATCCCAACACCGTAATGAAAAAACATCACAAGTTAATATTTTTTTTTCCAGGGCTATAAAACTCATACTAAAAATTCACCTATTTATAGCTTATCCAATTGAAAATCTTATCGATTCAGATTAATCGACATTAAAAATGAGCATAACAAGATTATGAGGATGCTTTTAATATAGCAGTAAATCGAAAAAAAATCGCATTGAAAGTGATCATATAGAATTATCCTATGTGATTTTTTTTTCATCTTTGCTAAAAATATTTAAAGATTATGAACAACAACAACAACAAAAAAAAAAGTTCAGTTTGAATCCGTTCATCATTTTCAATCCAATTTCTAATTATATCGATTGAATCGATGATGATAATGATTGAGTTTCGATTAATAGAAAAAAAAATCCAATAGAAATAGCATTTTTTTCAGATTCATTCATGATTTAATGTGAAAACAAGTGTTGATCATCGATTTCTAACTGGTTAAAAACTATTAAAACGATTATACTACAATATATATATGATTATATATAATATAAAAGTTATAATCAATGAACCATTTTCTTCAAAAAAAAGCATCATCATCACTAATACCAATTTGAATGTGTTTGCTCAAATGTTTTTGGTTTTCTTTCTTTGCTTACCATGAAATTATTCAAATGATGTACTTGGATTAGATTAGCCTTTATCGTTACAATTGTAATACATTATGATGCAGAAATATAACAACTCGAGAACAAGAGAGAGAAAGAGAGATTACCAGAAAACCTATCATTAATTTTTTTTTTTGCATTTGTGTTGTCAACACTATTATTGGATATTCATTTTCATTATCGACTGATTATTCTCTGATCATCATCTATTCTAAATCGATTGATCCATCTATTGGATGATTGGATGCATTGAGAAAATTCAAATTTTTTTTTACCATATGACTTTGAATATGATTTTTAGGTAGTTCGAAATATACGAAATGTTGATGAGATGATAATGATGATGATGATGATGATGATCGTCTTCATCATCTTGTTGTATACCTCGCCCAATGATCAATCATAGATTTAGTCTTGTTTTACTTTTGAATCATTTATGTTTTTTTTTGTCTTAACTTTTGGATAGATACAAACATTCATTCGGCTGGTTTATATATATTAGCAATTAATGTGAAACATTCACCTTTAGTATAGAAAGAAAATGGCTATCTAATCTGTATCGAATAATGGCGATTCAACGTGAAGTATTTTTTAAACATCTTGTCAAATTTAGATCTGGCCATGCCGATGTAATAAGCGTGTTTGTGTATATGTGTCTAGTTAACGATCCCATTGATCCGGTTAGCCATTGATCAGTATGTCGGTCAGCAGTAGTAATGCCAGCCAAATAGTGGTGGTGGTGGTGGTGGTGAAAGTTTATTTTCGTCATCGTTAAAGTTTTTTTTGGAATCAATTTCAATTCGATTTTATTTTATTTTCTTTTTCCACTTTGACCAATTCAGATTGAAAGTTTTTTTTTCAAGATTATCTAAGCTATTTTTCTGTTCCACTGTTTTCGGTTAATTAGTATGCTACACATTTATTTATGGCCACGGTGAATTAGAAATATAATTTAAATCTTTTTTTCGTTTTTCTTTTTGGTCGATGAAAATTAATTTTCTTATTTTTTTTTCTTTTTGCTTATTTTTTTCAGGCGAATGGCGATAAAGGAGTCGTGAATATTGATAGTATAAGGGAAATTGTTGAAAAGCAACCATTAGCACGGCCAGATCCATTTGATCCACCATCACCGCCATTATCGGCATTTTTACCGCCACCACCAAATTCTCAGCTTGTTGAATCATCCGGATCACAACAGCCGGATCAACATCAATATCAACAAGCGATGGCATCACAAACAACATTACCTGAACAGATTGCAGCCAATATGCCACAATCAGATTCTGGTTCATCTCAAGCCTATATGAATCAAGCACATCCACAGATTCCAATACAACCAATTAATACATTCAAAGCACAGGAACCAGATATGCCACAATCAAGTTTCATAAATCCACCTCCAATGATGTCACAACCACCGCCATCAAAGTTTTCATTCTCAAAAGATTCAATCATATCTATTGATAATGGAAATAATGACAATGACAATAATAACGATTCTGGTTTAAGTGATGAAAATGAAGATGAAGGCTATGCATATAATACGGAAAATATTGATGAAAATGGTAAAAAAGTATTAGTCTATCAACGTCCAGTTGATTTACCTGAATTGAATACAGGAAATAAATTCGATATCTATGGACAAAGTGGACATACTGGACAAAGTTCAAATCAAGAAATCAGTTCAATTTATCATAAACAAAATGATCAAAGTTTGTCATCCATGGATCAAGGAATGAATATTCAGGATTCATTAATGAATAATGATAATTATAAATATCAGAATGAAATCACTATTCAACGTGATAAACAATCGATGGATAATGATATGTTTCAAATGAATCCAATTGATATGCGACCACCACCACCACCGCCATCATTTTTTACGGATTTCACTGATTATGAACCATCAGGACATTCATTTCAAAATCAACCTCAACCATCACATCAATCGGAACAACGACATCAACAACAACAACAACATCAACAATCATGGACTCCACAAAATCATAATAATATGCCTTCAATGGATTTTGGTGGCGGTAAAATGACCGAAGGTTTACAACAAATTGAATACGGTGGATTTGTTCCAATCAAAAAGCCACACATATCTAATTCGGATATGAATAATCAACAGCCTTTAAATGGTGGAGATTATATGGTTCAAAATGGTCCACAATCTAAAGCTCCATATGAATACAATGCTAACAATAATGTGGAATATGTTCAACAACCATTGCCTTCGCCACAACCGCAAATGGGAAATATGATCCAAATAACGCCTTCTTCACCACAACAAGGTTCACAATCAATGCCACCGTCACAGCAATCGAAACAAACATTCCGTCAAAATTTAAATTTTGAATCTGAATATCATGGACCTGGATCATTCAATGAACCACCATCAATTTTCGATACACCAAACATTCATCATAACTATTTACCATTATCAGCTCCATCATCACATCAACAACAAATGTCCACACAAAATGGTGGCGGTTATCCACAAGAACATGAACATTTTCATGTGAATAAAATCCATGATATTCATGTGAAACCATTGTATGGAAAAGATGCAACGAAAAAATTACGCGAATTAGGTATCAATGAAGATGAATTCTATGGTACAGTGAATAAAATATTACAAAAATCTCGTCCAATGGGCAAACCAAACAAGCACTTTGAAACATCATCATCTCGTATGCCTTTGTTGCCACCATATCTACCAAAAGTTAATCTTTATAGAGCTCCACCGAAAAATCGACCACGACCTTTTGGCAATAATGGCCGTAAAAAGAATCGATTCTATCACAACAATCTGATTGCTGAAGATATTGAATTGAGTAAGTAAATCAATTTCATTCGGATAGCATGTTTTTAGGCCAGAGATTAATTGATAATTTTCAAACAATTATTAATTAATTAATTGGCATTTTTTGTTATTTATAGAATTTTTAAAAGATGAACTTCCGCCAGGTGCATCATACAATCCTCGTGACGTTGGCCTTGATGAATCAGTATTGGCTCAGCTTCATTTATTGGATAGTGGTATTGGTGGATATCGTTTTCCTGGACCAATGTCTAATGGCCAACATTCTCATCATCGACCATTGTTTCGTAAACCATCAGTGCCATATAAAAAATCTAATGCAGCAGCATCATCATCAGGTAGTAGTGGTGGTAGTGGACCACATGCAATGAACAGTATGATCATGCCATTCATTTATCAATCATCAAATGCTCAACATAACACTAATCGTTCACCACATTCAACATCATCAATAACACGTAACAAAGGATTCTATCCAGCTTATGGTTATCGTGCTGCAGCATCCGAATTGAAACCACAATTTATATTGCCAAAAGGAAAACATTTTAAATTTCTTCATCAAAAACAACAGCAAAAAATCACGCCCACTGATTCAAGTAATCTAAATCTTTTCTTGTCACCATCATCATCGACATCATCTTCATCGGCTACAACGATTGATGGTGGCCAACGGCCATTAGCAAATATATTCGGTATACGATCGATCAAAGGAATTCGATCACTAGTCTCCTATCTGACAGGCGGAGTATCTGGTTGATTCGTTTCTATCAATTTGATCTTGTAATCATTGGAAAAAAATGTTTGTTTTTTTGGCAACTTTCGACAAAAAACAACAACAACAACAACAACAATGCCCAAATAAACACAGAAAAACAACAACAATCATCATCCGAGTCAAATATTTTATACATTTTTTTTTCTCCTCATAATTTCATCATCATCATCATCATCATTATTATTTAACATTTATTATGAATTTATGGCGAATTTTTTTCAAATTTTTTTTCACGGCAAATGATTCATCGCTATATGATAATTGTTTTTTCCAACAAATTTTTTCTCACCAATTATTTATTCAATTGTATGAAACTGATCCAAAAATTTTTTTCCATAAAACAAATCAGAATCCGAAATCAATCAGATCGTCACTCACACACACACAAACACAGACAAACATACACACAGAAAAAGACTGAATCAATCAAGTGATAATAATTTTTTTCTTGAAAAAAAAAAATTCCATTTTTCTATCTCTCTCTCTCTCATTATGTCTCTCTTTTCAATCATTTTGCATTTTTTTTCTACTTTCTATCCTCATCATTTTTTTTCGTTTTTTTTTCTTGTAAATATAATTTTTTTTTCTCATTTATTCATTCAATAACCATATATATATAAAAAAAAGAATTTAATAATGTGAAAAATCGAAATTTTTTCTGTTTTAAACATTTTTTTTCTATTTTCATTTTGATTTTCTCCACCAAAAAGCAATGACGAGAAACGATGAAAGAAAACTCAAATTTTCCCTTCATATATAATTCTTGTGTAAATTTTGAGTTTTTTTTCTTTTCTCTTTTTTTTTGTCTACGATTTTTTTTTTCATCTATTTGAATAAATCTCAACAAAGTTTTTTCTTTATGAAATTATATTCCGAGTTTTTTTTCCTCCACCAAACAAACAAACAAACAAAAAAAACCGTGACTTCACGAACAGAAATTATATTGGTTTCGATGGAAAAGTGTTTTGATTTTCATCATCATTAAATTTATTTCTTTCTAGCTATATTTATTTATATATATGGATTTGAAACAAATTATTACAAATTTAATTTCAATTTCCAATTTTGTTTTCTGATTACAACTATTGCATTATTGATTTTGTTGGTTTTTGTTTGTTTTTCCGGTCCATAATTTTTTTTTATATTGATAAACATCCGATTTGGTAGAAAGAAAATATTTACTACAATTACCGATAACGAGAATTGTTTCATTGTTCTTTTTTTTTTTTCATTCATTCATTCATTTCAATCATTTGTATTCGAAGATAATTAAAAAAAAAAAATAAACGTTAAATGAACTAGATAAATAAAGAGAGAAAAAATTTCAAATAGTAAAATAAAGTGATCAATCTTCTATTCTTTAATGTTAACATTGAAAAATAGAAACAATTTGAAACCTGGATCCAGTTGATTGATATTTATTGAATCAAGTTGAATTTGAAATGGTCATTTAGAATTTCCTATTGTTCTATCTATCTGTCTATGTGTATGTGCAAAAGAAATTTTTTTTTTCAGTACCTTAAAATCGCGACTACGAAACGCGTCTTATACAAAAAAAATGTTGATAAATAGTCCTAGTTTTTAATAGCTAGTTCACGGTGAAAATATCTACGTTTCGGTAGTTGTTGTAGTCGCGATTTTCGGGTAAATTTTATTTTGTCAATAGTAATCATTATTATTATCAATTATGTATCCATTTTGATGTATGTGGTAACCATTACGCGATATGCTTCAATTCATTTCAATGCATTCAATTCAATGCCATTCATTACATGTTTCCAAACCAAATAAACAGACAAAATGAAAAAAAAATGCCAGTTTGCATGTCTTTTATCTTTTATATATTTTATTTAGTTTGGTTGGTTATTCAAGAAAACTAACTACATTTTTTTCACAGTAAACATTATGACATAATTGTTTAGACTAAATTTATTAATATGAATAAACAGAACCATTTTAAATGGATTTAATTACAATTTGTATAATAGAATTTTCATTGATATTCGATGATGTAAATTATTATTAACCTTTGACCACTTTTTTGCCTACACCACCTTTTTTGAATGCAGCCTTTGCACCGGCTGCAGCTCCTTTTTTGAAACCAGCTTTGCCACCAGCAAAGAATTTTTTACCACCTTTAGCACCACCAGCTGCAGCAAAACCTTTTTTGAATTTTTTGCCACCTTTTTTGCCTGATTTTTTTTATAAAACAGAAAGAAAGTGAAAATAGAATTAGGAAAATGATGGCAAAATAAAAATTAAAAAACAAACATACCAGCAGCCACACCTCCGGCAGCAAATTTTTTGCCTTTTTTACCAAAAGCACCAGCCATTCCACCGGCAGCAAATGCACCACCAACTTTACCAAATTTAAATCTATACATATCGATTACATGAGAGAATCAGGAATTGAATCAAAAATAATTTATCATTCTATTCATTACCCTTGTGCCATCCCAAAGGTTTTGATAGTACCGAATTTTTTGTTGAAACCAGCGCCAGCAACTTTTTTGAATACACCTTTTTTACCGAATTTGGCGAATTTTCCACCCACTGCACCGGCAGCACCTGCTTTTCCACCTATATACCGTGAATCAAATTTAACTCGATAAATTTCCTGGTTATTTGAGAATTTTACCTTTCTTAAAACCAGCCGCTCCTCCGGCAGCACCAGCAGCGAATGCACCTATTTTAATGTATTTAAAAAATAGATCATCAATATACACAATGAATTCCCATCATTAGATTACCTTTTTTTCCTCCTTTAACACCACCAATTGCAAATCCAGCTTTACCAGCTTTTATTCCAGCAGCACCACCTTTTTTAAAGCCTGCTTTGGCTCCAGCAACACCAGCTTTACCTACACCTGCTGCGGCCGTTTCGGCCACCATCATTGGATCGGATTCTGATTCGCTTTGTTCAATTTGTGCCGATACCACACAAAATAAAACACAGCCAAGAATAATCTGAAAGAAAAATTTTTTAATAATCATCATTCATATTACCATTATAAAAGATGTTAACTTACTATTTTCATAAACATTTTGTGTGTGAGTGTTTTGGTTCAATACAACAATTAACTATCACAGATTAATGATGATTTTCTTTTCATGTAGAAATTATTGTCGTATAGCTGGTCACTTTATTTTATTTTTCACTTATCAATAAACACTTTGTGTGTGTGTGCATATAATTCAAAATGAATGAATGAATATTGTCAACCAGAAAAAAATATTTTGCTTTTATATTTGAATCGCCAAAGATAAATTTGTTGGCCATTTCTTTCTGGAACAATATGATATATTACATTATGGTCGTAGTGGCAAATGAAAAAAAAATAGCGACCGAATGACAATGAAAAAATCATAATTCATACAACAACAACAAAAACAACAAAAAAATAAAGAAAAAAAGTTCAGCAACATTGGTAAATCGATTTGTTTGTTTTTCTTTATATTTTTACATTGATTACGACATTCAAATCAAAGGAAGGTTAAACCGTTGAAGACAAAACAAAAAAAAAAATCCATTGGACAATCAACTAAACAAACAAACGGAAATAATACTTTTGTTAATTACACATGCACACACACACAAGACCGGAATAGAATTATTATGAAAAGAAAAAAAAAAAGATTTGGATTTTGATACTTGAATAAAAATGCTACTTTTTTTCTCTGCAAATTTCCATTATTTTTTCCGGAATTAACATCTTTGGAAGAAACAACAAAAAAAATTTAAACAATGAAAAAGCTGGACGGAAAATCCAAATTTTGTTGAAATTGGGGAAAACATTGATATTGAAATTTTTTTCTTAAATTGACACAAAATGGAAAGAAATTCCAGTGTTTTTTTTTAATTTTTTTCTGTTGCAACCGTTTATTGAGAAAAAAAATCCATGATGGGCGTATACACCGAAAAAGACACACGCACAAAAAAAAATGAAATATTTTATTTTTTACCATGATCCGAGTGTTTAACTCAACCTACAATGAAGCCTTAAAAAAAAGAGTTGAATTTTAATGGAATCTCCCACCTTTCAAGTAACCAAAGAATGTACAAGGTAATAATCTATCTGATTAAAATTTGTAATAAGAATCATGAGAAAAATTGGGGGCGAAAATAAATATTCCAACCGGAAATTTTATGATTGTCATCAGAAATAATAATGAAGACAAGCAATAAAAAAAATAATAAATCATAAATTCTGCAATCGTAACCAAAAAAAAAAAAAATGTACTCCATATATACAAATTGACGATTTTAATGGAAATTGGATAAAGTGAGGGAAAGAAAAAAAATTCCGGTATTGAATTTCGAATACATGGTGGTTTCATCGTCATGTATTTGACATATAATTCAAAATAACATCCGATAATATGTTTTCATGAAAATCATTGACAGAATCTTAAATTTGTGTGTAGAGTGTGTTATTTATATATACAGGCTGGATTGCATAAATAAATGTTTCAAATTGTTAATAATAAATAAATAAATCAAATCAATGAATGTGAATAAATGAATAGGTAGACAAAAATTACAAATGATTGATAATCATTGACCATCAATGAATTCACGTTATAATAAAATAATGAATATCAATGTGAAACAGTGGATTCTCTCTTTTCTTTTTTTCCATATTTCTATCGCATGTTTTTCCATATCAAATACCGTATATCAAACGTAATCATATTGTCACTTGTGAAAAACATTTTTCTTCAGAATCATATCATATCAAGATCTAATTTGGCTGTAGTTGTTGTAAAAATGTTTTATGATTCAATGATCATGATGATGATAATTACATTTCAGCAATTCTCATCTATAATTCTTAGCCAAAACAACAACAACAACAAAAAACAACAAAAAAATAAAGAAAAAAAAGTTCAGCAACATTGGTAAATCGATTTGTTTGTTTTTCTTTACATTTTTACATTGATTACGACATTCAAATCTAAGGAAGGTTAAACCGTTGAAGACAAAACAAAAAATGAAAAAAAATCCATTGGACAATCAACTAAACGAACAAACGGAAATAATATTTTTGTTAATTACACATGCACACACACACAAGACCGGAATAGAATTATTATGAAAAGAAAACAAAAAAAAAGATTTGGATTTTGATACTTGAATAAAAATGCTACTTTTTTCTCTGCAAATTTCCATTATTTTTTTCCCGGAATTAACATCTTTGGAAGAAACAACAAAAAAAAATTTTAAACAATGAAAAATCTGGACGGAAAATCCAAATTTTGTTGAAATTGGTGAAAAAAATTGATATTGAAATTTTTTTCTTAAATTGACACAAAATGGAAAGAAATTCCAGTGTTTTTTTTTATTTTTTTTCTGTTGTTGCAACCGTTTATTGAGAAAAAAATCCACGATGGGCGTATACACCGAAAAAGACACACGCACACACACACAAAAAAATGAAATATTTTATTTTTTACCATGATCCGAGTGTTTAACTCAACCTACAATGAAGCCTTAAAAAAAGAGTTGAATTTTAATGGAATCTCCCACCTTTCAAGTAACCAAAAAATATACAAGGTAATAATCTATCTGATTAAAATTTGTAATAAGAATCATGAGAAAAATTGGGGGCGAAAATAAATATTCCAACCGGAAACTTTATGATTGTCATCAGAAATAATAATGAAGACAAGCAATAAAAAAAATAATAAATCATAAATTCTGCAATCGTAACCAAAAAAAAAAATGTACTTCATATATACAAATTGACGATTTTAATGGAAATTGGATAAAATGAGGGGAAAGAAAAAAAATTCCGGTATTGAATTTCGAATACATGGTGGTTTCATCGTCATGTATATGTCATATAATTCTAAATAACATCCGATAATATGTTTTATGAAAATCATTGACAGAATCTTCAAATTTGTGTGTAGAGTGTGTTATTTATATATATATGCTGGATTGCATAAATAAATGTTTCAAATTGTTAATAATAAATAAATAAATCAAATCAATGAATGTGAAAGTGAATAAATGAATAGGTAGACAAAAATTACAAATGATTGATAATCATTGACCATCAATGAATTCACGTTATAATAAAATAATGAATATCAATGTGAAACAGTGGATTCTCTCTTTTCTTTTTTCCATATTTTTATCGCATGTTTTTCCATATCAAATACCGTATATCAAACATAATCATATTGTCACTTGTGAAATACATTTTTCTTCAGAATCATATCATGATCTAATTTGGCTGTAGTTGTTGTAAAAATGTTTTATGATTCAATGATCATGATGATGATAATTACATTTCAGCAATTCTCATCTATAATTCTTAGCCAAAAACAACAACAACAACAAAAACAACAAAAAATTGTGCATATTTATTACAACCAAATTCAGAAAATACACAAGGGAATACATAAAAACATTACATTGCCTTTATATTATTAGTGGCCAATGCGGAATTTATGTCTTTCATTCCTTTTGACTTATCATCAATCATTTTTGTGAATAAGATTTTTGTGACAAAAATATTCTACAAGAATTTTTTATTTTCATTTTTATTCAGATTTTTTTTATTTTAATTAAAAAAAAATTTGTCCGTTGTTGATATCTTTGTTCAACCTGATGACTATTTCATTCATTCATTCATTCATTCATTCATTTGAAATAAAAACATTGATTGATTTTAAAAATGATCATCAATCGTGAAAAATTATGTAAATGAATTTTAGTTTGTATTTGAATGAGAAAAGAAAATGAAATGAAATGTCTATATATGTGATGGATAGGTTTTTTTTTGAATCAATATGATGATGTTGAGATCGATGAAGACTGCATGATGAAGAATGATGATGATGATCATAAAAAATTTTGGAAATCAGCCACGTTTTCTGAAGCGAATTCGATCATTAATTAATTGACAATTGTAATGAAGTAGTATATAATTTGCCATTTTACCAGTTTCAGCATTATTTTTTGACATACGGTGACGATTTTCAATCAAAGCTATCGATTAAAATAAATAATCATTATTATGACAATTATTCCATATAATCAAACAATATTCAATAACAACTTACAACGACCTAAACGATTTGTGACCATATTTTTCATTACCAAACATTTTAATGGTGTTTTAACAACTGGTATTTTACCAATGGTAGACATGGTTGTTATTGTTGGATTTATATTTGAAAGCAATAAAAATATCAAACAAAAATAATTGATTAACAACATTTTCGATCTGATTGTATTCGTTGTTGTTGCCATTAAGTTGAGAGAAATTTTTTGACTTGTTGAATGGTCCATTTTAATGTCAAATGTTTGTATGATTATTGTGGTGTGTATTACACATTAAGAATGTTGGATGTTCAATCAGTGATTAACAATAATAACGCTGATGATGATGATGATGATGATTTGTAATGACAATCATTCTATGTTCATGATACTCAAAAACATTAAAACATAACTGGCCCGAATTTACTGTTATAGTAGACTTTTTATATTGACTTTTCTTTTGCATTTACCAAAAAAAAAAAACAAGATGTTGACAAGTTGTTTATGTTGATTCACTATGTTGTACTATTTTTTTTTTTTGTATACATCAACAAAACCGTCATCGTCCACTATCTTTTTATTTTTTTCTGGTTCATTTTTTTTTCTTCTTTCTTTTTCTTTCATCTATTCTTGATCATACTTTGAAAATATCCTAGAATATCGAGAATGGATATGAACAACGCCTCCACATAGAAATTCGTCTACATAATCATGTATACGAAGGATAAACAAAAAACGAATCGAATGACATTCTATGATTCAAATGAATATTTTATAACCATAGCTTTACGTTATTTACTTGATTTATATCTTTTTTTTTTATTTTTTTTTTGATTTTGGTCCAACAACGGATTTGCTATGATCAACATTCGATATCTAATTATTGTTCTGTCCACATCTATCTATCTATATATATAATCTATACGATTTAGAATCAAAAATTTAAATTAATTTCAACTAGATATCAAGAATTTATGAAAAAAAAACATTGTAAGCTTGAGCAAAAAATAAACGTACAATAGACAAATATTACGTTATATTTCCGTATTCAATATTATGATAAATTCTTGTAGGAAATTTTAAAATTCTAAAATCGATTATCATCCATTGTTGAAGATTATTGTTGACCAAAAAAAAAAAAAGTTATCGTATTGGAGATAGACAATAAATTATTGAGCCATTTTATTGATCACATCAGTGGTCGTCAACCTTCAAATGATAATACACAAAAATTTCATGTACATCGAGTGTGGGCTAAAAATTCTTCTTGCTAACCGGGTTACTAAAGTTGGAGATGACTGCAAATATACGAGAATGAGAATTACGCAATTCGAAAACTTTTATGGACAACAAAAACAAAAAATTTGTCAATTACAAAATTTTTTTCCGTTTTTTTAATCATTATTATTGCATATCGATGATGGTAATGGAAACTAATTGAAGACTAATGAAAACTTTATAATGTTGATGATTAGTTGGTTTGTTTTTTCAAATCATTACAGATCCAATTCAATTCTGATATGATTATTTTACATACGACGATTATTATTATTATTATTCTCAAAATGACTGTGAAATTGATTATTTTTGCCCATCTTATTACGTTTACGACGACCAAACGATGAGCAAACCATTGAACGAAAATTCGATGACATAAAACCATAAACAAATGGATTCAATGCTGAATGTATGAATGATAATAGATTGCACATAACGCGAGTATTATAAATCCATGATGAAAAAGTACTTAGTCCAGATTTAACCAATACATTCATAATGAGTCTTGGTCCCCAACATAATAGAAATAAAATTATGATCAAAACCAACATTTTGATTACCTTGAATGAATAAAAAGAAAAGAATTAGATGGAAGAACAAAAATAATAATAATAATAATAATAATAATAATGATAATTAAACCAGTTCATTAGTCAATAAATATTGGGACGGGAAAAGCGTAGCTTAATTGTTTGCATAACAAAATGTGGCCACAATTCAAGCTAATAATGATGTTTGATCATTATTATGACGATGGTTGATTTAATTGAATTCATACATTCTACATACGATTTATCCTAATTATAATTTTTTTGTACAGTCGAAAATTTCACAGCATTTCATGTGGATGAAGACAATTCTTTTTTTTATCATCTAAAAATAATTAATTTCGTTTCATTCAAAATTATGATCAAAAACCAAACAACACAATGATGATGAAGAAAATTAATTAGACAAAAATCATTGGAATTGAAGCAGAAATATGAATAAAAAATATTCACAGTGCGTGAATTTTTTGCTTAAAGCGATGAGAGAATTGTAGATTTTTTTTTACATTTTGAAAAAAAATTTGAAATTGGATCATGAATTTTTTTTTTTCGTTTTCGAATTCATCCAATTCAGATGGGCACGAATTTTTTTTTTGTTGCAAAGCGACAATGCCATCTTGTGGCATTCATCGATACTTACTTGAATTCGACTTTTTGTAATTTCCATTACATTACTGGATAAAGTTCTTGAACAGGATTTATAACATAACGATGATGATGATGTTCGATGATTCGTTTGAATCGAATTATTATTTTTATTATTTGACCGCATTGAATTATCATTTATTTGATCATGTGAATTGTTTTTTATTGATTGTAATGTATCCGAATGATCATCGTTATGATTTTTATCATCATCAATTGATTGTTGTTTTTGATCATCGTTATCCATATCATCATTATTTTTTAATAAACCAGATACTACATGATTATGATGATGTTTTTGTTTTAACATATTTTCATTGTTGCCTGGGTTACCCATAGATGATTCGGAAATTTTTGGCAAACAATCAATAAAACTTGTCATTGAATAGTTTTCATTATCATCATCATTGTGTATGTCGTGTTTTTCAATATTTTTGCCAACTTCACCATTATCAATATTTATTTTTGAATTTTGTTGCCATTGACTTGTAGCCAATGTTTTGATATTATTCTGTTTATAAATATCGCCGTTACTATTATTTTTCTGTTCATCATTTATTCGATTTGGTTGTTGAGACGAAATTCTTGATAAATTTGACTCATTCATTTCATTTATATTTTGATGACAAGATTGTTTTTGTTGATAATTTGATAAAATTTGAGTGAAATCTGTAGAAAAACTTTTTTCATTATCATAAAATTGTGAATTATTATTGTTGTTATTATTACGATTTGTTGATTTATTTTGATAGAATAATGTAGAAGAAGCATCATTTTTTCTTGACACAATCACTTGCCGTGCTTTATTCTCTGCTTGTGTCATCATATTAACTGAACGTGTACTTGACCATAATTGTCTTATGACAACATAATAACAAACAACCATAAACAATGCAGGCAATATAAACATGACTAATAATTGATAAATGGCAACAATAAATGTTAAATCATTTTCAACATCAAAACAATAATATAATGTCAATGATGTAGTCATATTATAATATGTTATTTGACTTGTATGCTAAGAAATGGATAAAATGAGAAAAAAAAATGAAATATTTGTTATTATTCAAACATCTTTGATTATCATTATCATCATCATATCTGTTTATTATAATAATGATGATTACCCTGGTTAATAAAACTGGTGTCGATAATACAAATGCAAAGCTCCATATGATGATTAAACCTTTACGTGTTGAACTCATTGTACACCAGGAACGAGCCCGCATTGGATATACAATGACTAAAAATCTATAATGATAATAATGAGAAATTAACAGAAATTATCGTCAATTAGCTTGATAATGTATACGATAGAATAGTAAAAAAAACTGGTTTTTTTTATATATTCCTCAAAAAGTAATGATAATAATAATAATGTGATTGCATGCTGGATAGAACAACAACAACAACAACAAAAAAATAGAATATTAAATCCGTGAATCGACTATTGAATAGATGTTAATTTGTATGTCATAATGATTGCGACGCCATTTTGAATTTTGTTGAAACCAGAAAAAAAATGCGAAAACAAAAATAAATGATCATGTTTTTCTCACTTTTCATAAATTATTATGCAAAAAATTTTTTTTGTGATTTAATTTTTGTTTTCGTTTTCTGTATTTTTGTTTTCTGTCTTTTTTTTTTGTTCCAACATCATTAAAAAAAATTACCTTTCAATACTGACGGCAAGTAAATTCATTACAGTAGACATTGCTGAAATCGCTTCAACATAGGCAATCATTTTACAAATGGAACTTAATCCTGTCCATGTTATCATAAAATATTCCAACGTTTCTAATGGTACAAATACCAATAATAATAATAGATCAGCTATTGCTAAACTGACTAAAAATACGGCCGTTGGTGAACGAAATTTTCCATGCATTGACCATGTTGCAATGACCACACCATTACCAATAACGCCAATCAAAAATGTCAATGTATGAGTGATGATAATCGGCATAAAAGCTATAAATAGAAGTAAATTATTAATTTACATTTTTCATCATCATCATAATCATTATGAAACACACACATACACATACACATATTTAATAGTAAATTGAATGAAATTAAAATATAATGTACGTACATGGATTCATGGATGGATGCAACATATCATGTGGATATTCAATGTAAAATTGATCCGATCTGGCTTGATTAATACTGAATGATGATGATGATGATGATGTTGATGGTAAAATTGAAGACGTATCATTCATGGATTCATCCAAAATTTGATGATCACTTGCATTGATTAAATAATCCAATTGTTTTATGATTGAACCAATATCAGACATAAGTTTTGGATCACACGGTCCAATATTTCCATTGTTTCCAATAATATGGCTGATTTCGACACCACCACCACCACTGCCAACATTATTATTACTATTATTACTAATGATTGTGCCATTGTTTAGATCATCATCAAAATCAATTCTACCATCGTAAACAGCTGCATTTGTTGTATTAACAATATGTTGTTTATTCAGATCAAATAATGAACAATTATTCAATATTGATTTATGCTGTTGATATGCTTTCCAGAGAAGATTCTGTTCAACTATTGAAGACATAATCAAATATATTCGTTTCGCATAGAATCGATTCTTGATTTTCAATATATAATAACGATGATGATTGTTTGAATTGAAGAAAATTATTTTTTTTATATGATGGAAATAAATGAAAAATTGATTTAGAATAGCAAAATGAAATGAGATTTTTTCTTTTGTATTAACCCGTTTCAACCCATGTTCCCCATTTGGAGAGCTGGGTCTGATTTTTTGTTTTGGAAAAAACTATCAATCTTTTCTACTTTCACAAGATGCCTTTGGTGACAGGAAATCAATAGTTATTTTTCATGTACTTTGTACTGAACACACACGAGATGATGATTTTCAAAAAAAATAGATTACTCAGGTTAAATGATAAAAATGATGATGAAAAAAAATCATCATAAACAAAAAAAAAATTGGATAGAAACGGGTTAATACAGTTAATCGATGTCAAAAGATCTTTCAACAACAACATAAATTCTCTATTCAAATATCAATATGATCCACTTTTCAATTAGAACTATTGTGACAAGATGATAAATGATAATTTTCACGCAAACACACAAACATCATATTATTTGAACAAACTTGTATCAATTGTATAACCAATAATAATAGATTCGAATATTTGATAAAATGGGACCAAATTAATTTCACTGAATTATTTGTCGATTTGAACCATTTTGGATGGCAAAGTATAAGGAAAAACACAACAGCAACAAAAAAAAAATCCTGACAAACGATTCATTTGATCTGTAATGAAAAAAAATAGAGAAAAAAAAGTTTATTTGTTCATTGTCGGCAAAAAAAAAAAAAAGTTTTAATGAATTTCCGAATTTTTTTTTAAATTACCACTAGGGTAGTAAGGGAATATCTATAGGGCTATTTTTTTGTTTTCTGTCATACATGTTACATCATTGTCATTGTCGTTATTATTATCATCATCAACAACAACAACAACAACAATAACTAATGACAACGGAAATAAAAAAAAATAACGAGTTCGAAGAAATCTATCACGCGTAAAAAGCATTTATATATTTTTTTTTCAATGTTAATCGCACACTTGATGTGGAATTCAAAGTCTACTGATTGAAAAACAACGACAACATGATGAAGAATTTTTCTGGACAATAATAATTCTTGGAATACTATAGATGGATAATATTTATAGAATAGAAATTCCTTTTTCAACAAATAACATAACATATTATTTTTTTTCTTTCGTCACTTTTCTGTTACACACATGATTTTGATTATTCAATTTGATGAACAATAAATATTGTACACATTGTATTCCATGTATGTATGATGTGCATAATTTAATTCTTTACTGCCACAATGATTTTTTTCCCATTTCAAATTTGCATTTTAGCATTTAGTGATGGCATTATTTTTCATTACATTTCGGACTAGATAAAGAAAGCGGAAATAATCATGATGATGATGATGATGATGATGCCATAGGATATAATTCAATCGAAAATTCATTCATTGATTATTTATGATCCATTTTTGTTTCCCTCTCCATTGTTGCATGAAATTGTGTATAAAAACAATGAATTCAGGAAACACAGTGCTGAAGAATCAATTATTTCACGCCTATTTAATGAGAAAAAAGCATATCATCATCATCAGCATTTTACCAGAGCAAAAAAAAAATGGAAAAATTTCTCTCAAATAAATCAATTCAATATCCGTTGAATAAATATGCTTCTTATTATTGTCAAAATGATTGATGAAAATTAAGTTTGGAAAAAATTTGTCAAAATGTTGAAATGGGATTTTTTCCATTCATAATATAATATATAATATATAGCAACAAGCAACATTAAATTATGCGAAAAAAATGAAAAAAAAAAAAATAAAAGTGCAACAAAAGCTAAATTATTCAATCAAAAAAAAAAAAAACGAAAACAAAAAATTCTAAAAGAATCTTCATATGATTCTTAACTCTATCCATATACATATCCATTTAATTCTGAATAAATTTTTTTTTTTTAGTTATTATATGAATTTATTTTTCAATCTTGCATTTTGATTGTTCAAATTCAACAAACTGTGATGAATCTTTTGTTTGGAATGTTGGAAACAAAAAAAAAAAAAAAAAAAAAAAGAAAGACGACATTGTCTCATACATGGATTACTTTATTGATTATAATACAAAACAGTGGAACCGGATAGACACAAAAAAATGGAAATAAAGAATGAATAAATACAAAAGAATTTTGATATAGGGATTTTCAACAAGGACCTACAACATGTTTGCATGTGTAAATTTTTTTTTTTTTTTTTTTTTGCGAAAAGTTCTGTTTTTTCCGTTGTTGTTGTTGTTGTTGTTGTTGTTGTTTCTTTTTTCAATTCTTTGCCATTCAAGCTCGATAGTAGTATCATTAGACAAGAATGTTGAGAATTTAGCCTATTATTATAATCATCATCATCATCATCTGTAATGATGAGCTGACAATGACAAAATAAAAGAATAAAAGTAAGATGAAAAGAGGTTTAACTTCTTATCAATCTATTATTTTATATTCTAGATTGAATTTGACTGTTGTATTCATTCAATCTTTTAGCATTGTATTATATAAATTATATTGAAAATCTAATTTGAATCAATGTGGTGATATCTATGTTGATTCAGAATTCTATTATTAATGTGTTTTTAAAAATAAGAATCAAATCAGATTTCATAATGACTTTTATTCTGCTTTTTTTCCCCTCCTACGCCATATTTCCTGCGATCATAAGATTAAAAGTATTTAGACAAAACTAAATAAAAATTTAATTAAATCCATCCAAAATGATTATATTATCATTATCATGATTATTGAAATTGAAATCGATACGTCATGTTGTTGTTGCGTCACGATTAAATGATGATGAAATTATATTAGCTTTTTTTTTGATCATACGATAAATTTTTTGTTTACTTGTTTAATCCTGTAAAATCATCATCATCATCGTCTGTTTGATTCACATTTATCGATTTCCTTTCAATATCAATTACATCAATGTGTTTCATTGATTTCCTGTTGGCCATATATCAATGTCTAGTGATTGATTCAATTTGGACATTTTGTACATTCATTTTGTACATTCACTTGGGACTTGATATTTACTTATTGATCGACCACATGAATAGCATGCTGAGTGAACATTGAATCGCACACATTTCAATTGAATCATTGTTACTATTTTTACTTTTTTTCTGTACAATTCAGACCTTTTATAAAAGATTTGACCAAATAAAAAATTTCCAATGAAAAAAAAAAAAAAAAATAAACAAGATTCCTGGTCATTATTTTTGCTTTGTTGTATTCGTGGATAGACATTTTTAAAATAAAATCAGAATTGATAGTTGATTTACTCACAAGGCATAAAATCAAAAATTGCCATTATCGATCATAGAATTTAATGAATTTTTTTTCTCATTGCTGCATCAATGTTTGCATTCTGGAATACACAATCCTTTTTTTTATCTGCTTTGCTTTTGGCCATAAATTAGCTGTACGAATAACGAATAACGAATGTGTGTAAATTTTTCCACGTTCCAAAAACGAAAAACAATTCGAATTTGCCATTTAGACCAAAAAAAAAACCCATCAGCTGCAGTTTAATAGTGTTGAAATTGAGTTCATCATCATATAGACAATTATACATTCAACAGCCGATAAAGTAATCAGAAAAATTTGTTGGATTTTTTAGAAAATTAAAATTAATGTCCATCAACTTAACCAAATGTTATTATTACTATAAATAAATTTCAAACGAGTAAAAATCAAAAACAAACGCATATGTTGATGAACATATTGTTTTGTTTCAACAAGAATTTACTAAATCTTGTTTCTAATATATTTCACAGGAAAAAAATATTCCAATAAATGAATCTCATACATAATAAAAGTGATCAAGCAATATGTAGAATATAAAGACTGATAGAGAAAAGATTACTATAGATTCAATCTAATTCCCAAATGGAACAGAAATTCCAAAAATAAGAAGTTGAATTCAATTTTTTTTCCTCTTCTTTTGAATGATTATTTTCATCATTTTCTTGTTTCATTTCAAAAAAAAAAAAATTTTTTTGTTCGGAATTTTCTTGTCAACACACAGAATATATATGGGAACATCATCATCATCATGTGTGCTATGGTTTTAATCAGAAAAAAATCAGTTTTGACAATGTAATGATGATGATGATGATGATGATGATATAGTATATGCTGAATAAGATATAGAATTTCATGTAATAATTTAATTAGTGGAAAAAATTGATTGAATTTCTAATTTTAAAGTTCAAAATTCTACCTCAACAACAACGATAAAAACATAATGATGATGATGATGATGATGATTTCATTTTGTTTGCACGATTGATGATTATTTCAAAGAAAAAAAAAGAAAAACATCATGCGAGAGATTCATTGAATAGCTTCTTAGTGTGTGTGTGTGTTTGTATAAAATTTCCATTAAAATCAATTCAATCTTGTTTTTTGTCAAAAATTCGATTACGTATCATCGTGACAACAACATCAACAACAACAACAACAACTCATTTCAATATTCAATTAAATTGAATTTTCTTTTTTTTTCTTCACATAAACAATCTTTCAATCTTCAAATATTTTCATTTCATTCGTGTGACGCGTTACCTGTATTTTTTTTTATTTATTTTTTTTTGCGTTACGTAACATAAATGAATCCGTCAAAAACATTTGTCAGAGAATTGAAAACTTTTCTTTTTTCTCTATTCTGTGGAAATGAAAAATTATTCAACAAAAAAACAAAACAGAAAAAAATAAACAAATACGATTGGGAATACTTGTGTGTTATTATTTTTGTTGAAAGACGATTTACCATTGCAAACATTTATTCATTCATTCATTCATCATTCATTTTCTTGAATATCGTATTTTTTTTTATCTCTCTCAAAACACATCACACACGTATGCAAACATAAACATGGACATGGAATCAATAATAAATATGTGTGTGTGATGTAAAAAAAAATCGAAAACTGTACACGTAAAAGAATCTAAATAAATTTAATGGCCTAAAGCAAATCAAACCGCTTATAGAGATAAAGGTAGCTTATTTTTAATAAGGCAAGCAATTTTTTTTCTCACTGAAATTGTCACTACTATCGCATCATAACATATTGGATAATATTTTGACGGAAATAGAATGAAAAAAAAAAAATTCTGGCTGTTTTTTTTCACCATGAACAATATGAACATATATATTATTAACAATTATTATACAAAATGAATATTCTGAAAAATTTTGATAAAAATGAATTTATTAGGCAAATAAGAAAAAAAATCAATAATTATCAAAATGAATTTGAAAGAAAAAATTCTTACCCAAATAGAATGATGAATTCAATGATGAAGATTTTTTTTTTTAGCCGCAAACAGAATTTTGTTCAAGTTTTTTTTCGAATGAATGCAATCACAGATTTAGATTTTTGTTTGTGTGATTAAAAAAAAAGAAGAAGAATATTCAACAAAATGTTAATAGGATTTTGTAAAGCGAGAAAAAAAAATTCAAATCCATGAATTGAAAATTTTAATTCAAATTTCAAATATGCTGGCAATCGGCAACAAGAAACACAAACACTGGTTTGATTTTGGATCATCATTGAAATTACGATGAAAAAATTTCGTAACATCTCTATATTAGAATTTTTATTTTCACCACACTCATTGGATGTCGATTCTGTAAATGTGGGAATTATTTTGATGTTTGTACATCGTCATATAGGCAAAAACATTTGTAACGCAATTGCGCATCGTCGTCATATCAAAAAAACGAACCCTCTCAGTTTATCTATGTTTGCAATGATTCTGTGTCTGTATAGTTTATACACAATCCAAACATAACTAAGCCATTATCATCATATCAGAGCGCGCGTTTCACATTTCTTTTTTTCTATTTGTAAAGTAAACGGAAAAGGAATGAAAAAAAAATTTCAGCATACAATTCACGATTCATATGGTGTTGATGATAATGTGAGAAGAAGAAATTTGTATTGTCATCGAAAATATTGAAAGTTAATATTTCTGCATATATGTAGATGTAGTAGATGAAAAAAACAAGAATAAGAATCAAATGATTCTGTAGATGTGTACACACACACACACACACACATGTGATACAATCAATAAAATTCCAATCCAAATGGATTGATGATTATGATGAAGATGGTTGGTTGGTTGGTTGGTTTGTTTTGGCCAACCAACGATTTTTTTCTGTAATTTATATCCACACATTCTGTACGAAAATATTTTTACCTGAACTTTAAAACTAAAAAAAAAATTCCATTGCTCAAAATTTAGTTTGACCAAAGAGAATTTATTTTTCCTTTCCACAAAAATCAATCAATCATCATCAAGATATTATTATTTTAAGAATTTTTATTTTCTATTTGTTTCTATAGGTGTGTGTGTGCAGTGTGTGGTTGTACAGTCTGTATTCTGGGATTGGCGATTGCCAACAAATATTTGTAGCCATTCTATAACGTAAATGTGTAGAAATTATAACTTTACATCGGAATTTCAGAAGTTGTTTATGTTGACCAAACAAGCATATAGACACATTGATAATGGAAACAGGGAAAAAGAATTTTTGTTGTTGTTGTTGTTGTTGTTGTTGATATTTTTTGCACCAAATAAGCAAAAATAAAATTGAATTGAAAATGGTGAATCCAAAAAAAAATATTCGAATGAAAATTATCAACAACAATAACAAAATGATGTACAAGTGGTTTGACAGAAATGTTTTAGAATAGTTTGTGCATAAGGCAAATAGGATAAAGCATACCAAATGAATGATAAGAATTGTATTGAACTGAATATAATTGCCAATACGGCTTTTTTCCACTTCAATGCTGATAATAATGTTAAAAGTATGGATAATATTAAAATCATTGAGGCGATTATTCTTGTCATGATGAACATTGATTGTAATTGTTCCATTGGTCCAACTAGAAACATGATGCTATATATATATTGGATTTAAGATACAAATAGGGATGCGATTGGGTAGAATGATGAAGAACGAAAAAAAAATAGAAAGAAAAATTAAGATTATCATTATAAATCATATCAAAATGTGTAAATTTGTGACATGAATTTCTCATTATTCTAAAATAAATAAATGAATAAATAAAGTTCAAAACTAAAGTTGTTTACATCATTTTATATGATGATGATGATGATGATTTGAAATATTTTTTTTTTTACCTAAATAAACATAATACAGTGGCGAATGTATAAATTGTTGCAAATGATTTTAGTGAAATTAAAATCATTGTCCATGCTAAGAATGTCAACAATAGGCTTAGTAATAAGCATCCAAGAAATAATTTTATTCGTGTGTAAAATGATATCTCCGGGAATAGTGATTTATGCTATTTTATCGTTGTCATAATACACATAGTCGGCCAATTGACAAACATTTAAACGTACCAAAGAACCGTCCCCAGCCACATACACCATCAATCCACACCATCGTTCATAGTGGAAATAAAGATAACCGATGACAACCAAACCATATTATGATAAGGCAAAAAAAAGAAAGAGAAAGAAAAAAAAAAATGGTAGTAAAAATGTGAATAAAAATAGCATTAGAATAATTCTTGTGTTTTGAAGTATTATATAAGGGGAATACGATGAAAAAAAAATGGTCAGATAAAAACAACAACAAGAATATAACGATAAACATCATTTGGAATAGTATAAGCGAATAATAATAAAAAGAAAATGGAAAAAATATCCAAAAGAATTGGCCGTTTTTGGAATCGTAGATGATGATGATGATGATGATGTTTATATACAACTTGAATGTCATAAATGGTTCATATATAAGCAGATTCGTTCAATGGCCGAATTCTCTTTCTATTTTTTTTCTGTCTAATTCCATGATAATTACGCAATCCTTTTGGCGAAAACATTGAAATGTATGATGAAAAACAAAAAAGAGTTAATCATCATGGTCATTGCCGTATCATCAAACCATTTTGTTCAGGCCATTGTCTTTGTTTTTTTTTTGTTCTTATTCTTTTTTTTACGAATAAAACGATAAATAATAATGTGACTATTTCGACTAAAGTATACTATTTCAAATTCGATTTTTTACTTAAAGTCTTACGTTTTTTCCGGCTATGTTTTTATTTTAAAAAAAACAAAAACTTTTTTTCACTTTCTTCATCTGCAGATCATACGAAACACAAACAAAACGAAAAAGAAAAAGATTCTCTTTTTAAACATTTTCTCACATGACAAATTGATCAATTTTTATGGTGTACGACAAAAATTTCTTTTTTTTTTGTAGAGAAAAAAAACAAATATGAACATTTTCTTTTTTTTTTTTGTTGTTGAAAATAATTGGGATGATGATTGAAACCATGATGATGATGATGATGACGGTGAAAAAAAAGATGCTGAAAAGCAGTTTTTTAGTTCATTATTTTTAGTGGTCAAGAGAGAGAACGAGACAGTGGATAGAAAGATTCGTTTCTTAAAAAAACACACACACACACACACAGACCAAAATATGGACACATGATAAATTTAATTAAAATAGCATCATGGTGACGTTAGAAAAATGGAATCCATTTTTTTGTTTTGTTTTGTTTTGTTTCAGATTCTTTTCAAATATACAGACAGGTATGATAGGGAAAAAATGAAAATTAAAAATTACAAAAACATATATAGAAATTAATTACGGGTATTTCGATGTTGTCCAAAGTTGTGGAATCCATTTTTTTTTAGTTCGTTAGTATTAACCAAAGAAAACGGAAATAAAACCAAAAAAATAGAAGAAGAAAATAACGATATTTCGAAAATTTGATCAAATGACAAAAACAATTTTCGAAAAAAAACTCCCCAACAAAAAAATATTAATCAATTTCATCATGATCCGTCATCATTATTGATTAAACGATAAAAGAATGAAAGAAGGATAGATAATGATAGTATGAATTGATCATTATGTGTGTCCATTGTTAAATTCTAATCAATCAATGTTTGATTGATAATATTTTATGTGTTCACATTATATAGCCGAATCCATCGTTATTGTGTACTGTAAATGGCTTCAAAATCCAAGATCTGCTGCCATCTATTGATAGGATCCTAATTTCGAATGGATACCAAAAACAATATACGCAACAAAAACAACAACAACAACAAAAAGAATCTCATCATGCGTTTTTCAATCGTCTGTGTATCCAATAAAAATCAGGCCATTGATGATATTCCTCGTGTTTGTGTTCAATTTCACCTGAATTCATTTTCAACCAGAATTTTACAGCATGGATTCTTTTGTATGATATATTCTACCATATGGATTTTTAATTATTTGATTTGTTTTGATTTGATTTTGATTTTATCAAACAAATTTTGGATTGTTTATTTCGATGTTTGTTTGTTTGTGTTTACACAATGATCATGACGATTATTATTATCATTAATATAATCAAAAAAATAAATTGTGTATATGCAAACCAGAATAATAATGACCTCCAAGATAAATATTGGTTCAAATAATAAAACTGATGATGATAATGATAACAACAACAATATAAATCAACAACAATATGACGATAGCATTGATGGCGATTTTAAAGGAAAACTATTACATCTTTCATGTCTTTGGAATAATCCTGAATTGCTTAGCGATTTACTTTTGGGTGATGAGGTTTGTTTCGTTGTAATCAATGTTAACAACAATGGATTTATCCGTCTAATAATTTTTTCCGCATTAATTTATTAGGCAGAAAATATTAATTCACAAGATTCAAAAGGTCGTACAGCTTTACATGAAGCTGTCATATCGGATAGCATGGAATGTGCAAGACTTTTGTTGATGAATGGAGCTGATCCTAACGTTCGATCTTATTTCCAATCTGAATCGACAACTTCATCATCATCAAAGAGTTGTTTACATCTAGCAGTACAAAGAGGAAATCTAGATATGGTACGTTTATTGATTGAATTCAATGCTGATATATTTCTACGTGATAATGATGGCAGGACTGCAATCGATTTGGCACAAAATGAAAACCATGAAAATATTGTAGATGAATTAAAAGCAGCGATTATCGAACATGAAACCAATCTTTATAAATCGTTAGCCATTGCTGTGCACAAAGGCGATGTTAAATTGATGTCGGAGCTCATTTCCGATAAAAGTTTAAAAATTGATGCCAATAATCAATTTGATCGGGAACGAATTCGTTCTATAATGAATTACTCATTAAATGGCTCAAATACGTTATTGTTCAAGGCATGTCAAGAAGGTCATTTAGAGATTGTTAAAAAATTGATACAAGCTGGTGCTGATGGCCGCACACATCCAACAACAAAATATTCTCCACTTTATATTGCATCCTATCACGGAAGACTTCATATATGTCAGATATTATTGGAACATTTTCCGGAATTATCCGCCATTTATACTGTTGAACATTGGCTTCCGATACATGCAGCCGCAATTAACAATCATCAGGAAATTGTACAACTTTTACTTGGTTATCCTTATCCAATCAAAGTTATGAAGCCATTTCTTACCAATCCAGCTCCAACAATTTCATCAAGACAAACGACTTATTCTTCGAATGAATTATCCCAAACAATTGGAACAAATGTTTCTAAATCTTCAAAGAATTCTTCAAATGAAGATAATTGTGATAGCCAATATGTATATTGTATGCCTTTCGATTTAAATGCTCAAGATGTAGCTGGCCAATCCGTTCTATATATGGCTACATTAGCTGGTAATCATTCATTAGTGGATTATTTGCTCAATTTACGATTAAAAGCTGTCATTTATGATGAAATGATAATGATAAATTCAAATGATTCTTCATTCGATGAAGATGATTTTTATGAAGATTGTGTTAGTCGTAATAGTACCAGTGGTAGTAGCAGTCCGGATATAACTGTGATCAGTTCTCTTGATTCAAATAAATCTAGTCAACGAAAAGATACTCAACTCAGCAATGAAATTAAGAAGATTTCCGATGATCAATTGGATAAAGACAAAAATTCATTTCGAAAACTAATGGGACATTTGATTGATAATTCCAGTTTAGATAAAAATAAAACTACAAAAGATTTTGGTCTAAAAATTTATCTAATAAATCCAATAAAGATAGATATGTATTGCAATCATAATAGAGAAACATCTTTACATTGTGCAGTACAAAAAAGACATTATTCAATTGCATCATTATTGTTGGAAAACGGTGCTTATCCAAACAATCCAATAAATGGATTGACAGCCAACACATCATCCATTATAACTCGTGTTTCGCATTTTAATCACAACCTATTCAATCCAAGATCATCCATTTCGGAATCTGTGAAAGATTTAAAAATTATAAGCAATCAATTGATTGGTAAAGATTCGAATAAATGTGCTGAAAATCTGGCCCATAATAAAGAGAGAAAATTTGAACCAAATGAATGTCGAAATCGTTCAACGGCACTTCGTGAAGCTATAAGAAATCGTGATAGAGCTATGGTTGACTTATTGCTTCGTTTTGGAGCTTGTGATCATATTGATTCTGGTAGAGATTGTGAACAAGAAGAATGTGATTCTTTGTCAGCATTAGAGATTGCATTTTCTAATCATGACTATCATTTTGTTTCAAAATTATTATCACTAAAAGCATATCCAGATTCTGAATTTAAAGTGAACAAAAAATCATTCGATATAATCGGATCTAATTGTATGAATGCATTGAATCGTTTTCATATGATCAACAATTTTACTGTTAGTTCAATGTTTCCGACCAATCCGGTAATGGTCGATTGGCATTGTTTGAAAATTAATTCATTAGATGACTCATTTCATCACAATCTAACACAATGGTTGATTGATTCGGCATTAGTTTATAATGTTAAACTTAAATTGAGCCATATCCAAGATTCCGGTTCCTGGAACACTGCTTTGGCTGCCATTACAAGAATTGATCTATCGGAAAATGGTCTCATATCAGTGCCATTGATTTTATTTACCGATCTGCCATCATTAAAGATATTAAATCTGTCTAAAAATAAACTACAGACTTTACCGGAAATAAAAACCCATTCAAAAGAAAAAGCAATCGATGATGAAAGTGTTTCAAACATTTTTCGCAATAATGATGAATCGATTTCTCCTAGTCAATCATCGCCGAAAACTTCAAAAACATTCCTATCAAGGATGCGTAAATCGCAAAGCGTTACCAGTGCACTGTCAACTACATCAAGCAACAGTATGAAACAACATAATAAATATGCTAACAAATATAACAAAACCCGTTCAATCGATGGTTCAGAATGTTTATGGAATATGCCATGTCTTGAAGAGTTATATTTACAAGACAATCAGCTTGAATGTTTACCTTCATCATTGTTTCAGCAACCTGAATTGAAAATACTCGATCTTTCGAATAATAAATTACGTACTCTGCCACCATTGTTTTGGTTTAGTCCAAAATTGAGTGAATTAAATCTCTCATTGAATCTTTTGTGTGATTTACCATCGCCTGTGAATTGCTTGAATCAAATAACATTCGATCCACCATCAAGAAATTCTATTGTTGGTACAATGTCAAAAAGTATTTCAACATCAAGTATTTCAAGTAATTTGTCCATTTCTGATCTTAAATTGGATGTTGATAGCTCTGGTTGCTCATCGCCTATGATAACAACAGCAGCAGCTAAAATTTCTCAAACAAATCTCATACCGTTTGAATTGAACATTTTTAAACCATGGTCCGGTTCTGTTACCGTTTTGAGCGATTCATTTCATGATCAATTTGATGTAGTTCAGAATGTAACAAACAATAAAGAGTCATTACTTTCAATAGATGAAAATAAACATCATCCATATCATTTTCCATCATCAAGGCAAGAATCCTTAAACAGCAGTAATTTGATAAAACAACATTCTAGTTGTTCATTAATTCAACTTAATTTATCACATAATGGTTTTGATCGGATACCATTTTTTCTTTCTTGTTTGGCCACAAGACTTACCCATCTAAATATAAGCTATAATCGTTTGAAAACTGTTTTCGATCCAAACTATATTCTCGGTCATCTGCCACTCAGCTTGAGACATTTGGATTTGTCCCATAATCAAATTGATAATTGGTATAATATTGATGATGATATTGACCTGGATTCCGAATCTTCAGATGATTTATCCAATGGTGAAACGCGAACACTTTGTTTTCATAATTTTTTACGACAACAAAAATCATGTTTTTCACCAACGCTTCCATCTACATCGGTCGATAAGTTTATTGGTTGCCCATATAAACAGCATACAAAACTAGATAATCTTAAAACATTGATTTTATCGAATAATCATTTAAAAGAAATAATTGTCACACGTGAAGAATTGATCGAATGGATTGATTTTGAATTTGTTATCCAACAACAAGTGCAACAAAAATCCAAGAATATATTCACTTTCAATTTATCATCAAGTTTCGGTGATTCCAATCGCCAATCATCCAATTTATCATCATCAAATTTTGCGGCTCGATTGTTCTCCAATTTCGGTAGCCAAGATGATCTTCATAAATCGGCTAGTATGGAAGATATCAATTTGAATTATAAGGCTTCAAGATATGCAAAATTATTCTTTCCAAATCTTTCAATGTTAGACATAGCTAATAATCATGTATCACGTGTACCAAAAACCATATCTTACTACTCACAATTATCGGTTTTAAATCTCAGCGGAAACACTGAATTATCTTCATTGCCACCAGAAATGGGATTACTGGCTAAATTATGGAATCTTAATACTCGTGGTTGTATCAATCTTGAAGAACCTATTCGTTCAATGATCAATAGTAAATCGTATAAAACCTGTGATGTAATTAGCTACCTTAATTCAATCTTAGAAAATTCTAAACCTTACACAAGACTGAAATTAATGTTGGTCGGTTATCAAAACATTGGCAAAACATCATTACTAGAACAACTTCGTCATGAAGGCACTGCCAGAAGAAGTCGTGCCCCACCTGATCATTGGGGCAAACGTATTGGAAACAAATCGATGCATATGAAAACGACAAGAGGTTCAACTTTATCCACTGTTGGTGTTGATCTTTGTGAATGGACTTATGAACGAAAACCATTGAAAGGTTCAAATGTTCGTGATCGAAGTTTATCGCGTTCACGAATTGTTCAAGTTAACAATATCAGTAATAAAAATTCATTATTGAGTAATAATAATATTGGACCAATCACATTTCGAACTTGGGATTTTGGTGGTCAACGCGAATATTATGCTACACATCAATATTTTCTATCAAAACGTGCCATTTACTTGGTTGTTTGGAAAATAACCGATGGAGAGAAAGGAGTCATTGGAATGCATAATTGGTTGGTGAATATCCAAAGTCGTGCACCAAATTCCCCAGTAATAATTGTTGGAACTCATTATGATTTGGTTAAAGAATTCTATCCACCTTTTTATGCCAATGAACTTCAAAATATGATTCGTGATCGTTACATGTCCGATGCAGTTGATGCCGATAAACGTGGACTACCAAAGGTTGTTGCATCAGTCGAAGTGAGCATCAAAACCAGACATAATATTCGATTATTGGCTAATATTATCTATGAAACTGCAAGTGAAATGCGTTCTCCTGGTGGAAAAGATCGAATTCTTGAACAAAAAGTTCCGGCTACTTATTTGGCATTGGAAGAAATTGTAAGCATCTTAGCATTGGAAAGGAAATCGGAAAATTTAGAACCAGTTTTACATGCCGAACAATATCGACAAGAAGTTGCCCGTATGATGAAAGAAAGATATGATTTAGCTTTTAGAGATTATTCAGAGTTACAGCAAGCTACTCGCTTTTTACATGAAAATGGTGTTCTTTTACATTATGAAGATGCACATCTTAAAGATCTCTATTTTTTGGATCCTCAATGGTTATGTGATATATTAGCACATGTTGTTACTATAAGAGAAATTAATCCATTCGTTAAAAACGGTATGTAAAATCAATGAGCTATATAGTAATATGATAGATAATGAATTGATCGATAATTTTCTTACCATCCAATTTCAGGTATAATGAAAACGGAACATTTGTTACAACTTTTCAAAAATACCCACAATGCACCAATGGATGTACAGAGTTATCTACTTAGCCTTCTTAATAAATTCGAATTGGCCATCACTTGGGATAATAGAACATTATTAATACCATCACTTCTTCCCACTGAGGAACAATTACGAGCCGGATATCTTGGATGGGACATTTCCGTATGTTTAATCAGCTTATATTTTAAAGTTTATTTGAATTCTTTTTACGATGCACACTATTTAGATTCCATTACGATCACGACTGAAAATTCGAAATCATATAGTCAATGATTCTAGAAAAAATTCCACAAAGTTTCAATTCAAAAATCAATTATTTTTTCAAGAATTTACTGATTCACTAGATAATCAATTCAAATCTAATGATGATAAATTGAAAACAATTCCTTTATGTACAGTCACCGCAACAGCCCGTCATAATCAATCAATTCATCGTATTCTTATTCTTTCTTACGTACCTTGCGGATTCTGGTCACGTTTGATCGCTAGAGTTTTAGCTGATGAATCTGTAATCGATATTGTTCGTTCCTTTTATTCACTACCACCATACGCACACAACGATCCATTACTTATTGACTTTTTGAATAATGTCAAAACTTTCTGGCATTGTTGGCAGACTGGTTTTGGCTTACGCTATTTAGATACATTTTTATTACGAGTAAAAGAATTCTCATTAATTAATAATACGAATATAGAATCAAAGTTTGCTTTGAGTTCGACTTGGAAAAATTATTGCTATCCATATGACTATAATCGTATCAAGTTTTATCTTAGACAAAAAAAAGAATCGATCATCAATGACGATAAACAAACTTCAAAATCATCGGAATGGGGTGAAATTGACATATCTTCACAAAGTTCATCATTGATTGAAATTTATCTGCCAAATCAAGCATTACAAGTTGAAACTTGTTATTATCAAGAGATGAAAATTGAAAATGAAAATCGTTTAATTAAAAACAGCTATACATTGGAACCGAACATGGAGATGCTGACAAAATTATTGGTCATTATTGTCGAACATATCGATACTTTGCTGGAAGATTGGTATCCTTCTTTAGGCACTCGATTTATTCATACTTCTGATGGTCGATTTTTAATCACTCGTGTTGTTCCTTGCATTTCGTGTTTGCAAGCATTTTTAAACAATAAAAACGAAACAAACAATTCTGATGAAGCTAAAGACTCGAACAAAAATAAAGAAATTTTATCACCAGACACCAGTGAAATTGATTCGAATTTGGTCGATTTTTACAAGCTTGAAGTTAAAAAAGCAGCTTTACAAGCCACAAATGTATCAGATCAGCAAAATTCTTCTATTTTTTCTACAATCAAAGCCAATACTGACACTTCATCACACAATGCTTCATCCGAACTGAAATCAGAAAACAAAATTCGTTATCATCGTGTGAATGCATTCATGGTTGAAGAATGCATACTATCAGTTTATGAAGATACACGCCTTGAATGTTTTAATCATGGACGAATTCGTATGGATAAGATTGCGCCAGATTTTGTATTTCGAGATTTGAAAGACAATTACCGAATTGAGAGTGATCAATTGAAATTTGGAAAACTCCTTGGAAGAGGATCGTTTGGTTTCGTGTTTCGTGCTCACTATCAACCGATTCAAAAGATTGTTCAAACAAAAAAAGAAAACATGATTCCTTCTACGGTTTCCAATTCAACATTTTATTTACAAAAAAATGATCAAAATTCTTACAATAAAAACTATGAAGTAGCATTGAAATTATTACAGCCAATCAAAATTGAACTATGTTCAAAAGGAATTCGAAAAGCAGATGTGGAAGCATATACGGCAATGAAATCTAAATGGGAACGTGATCCTCTTCAATATTCTTGCAAAGCTTATTGCACTGCACGAACTGAATTGAATATATTACTCAATCTAAAACATTCGAATATTGCATCTATAATTGGTATTTGTCCTAAACCTCTTGCTTTGGTCCTAACATTAGCTCCACATGGTTCATTAGACATTCATACAAAAGCTTATCGTCGTTCGGGAGCTCGTATTTCGGCCATTATTCTACAGAAAGCATTTCTTCAAATTTCAAAAGCTTTAGAATATCTACATCAACAACATATTATATACAGGGATCTGAAATCTGAGAATGTACTAGTATGGTCATTTCCTCATCCCTATGCAAATCATCCACATTCTTCTTCATTTCGAATCGTTAATCAATCTAATCATTTTGGAAATGATGAAGTTCTCCTTAAATTAGCCGATTATGGTATTTCACGATCGGCATTACCAACTGGAACCAAAGGGTTTGGAGGCACTGAAGGTTTTATGGTATGTGACAAAACTTTTAATATCATAAAATATTCATGACGATTTTTATTTCTCCTTTATCATCATTAGGCACCTGAAATAATGCTATTCAATGGTGAAGAAGAATATACAGAAAAAGTTGATTGTTTTTCTTTCGCAATGTTTATGTATGAATTGTCTACATTACGATTTCCATTTGAAGGACAAGAATTTGCAATACGTGAAAGTATTTTAGATGGAATACGCCCTGCGATCACTCAAAAAGATCTTGAACATCTTCCTGAATCATTTATTGATTTGATGACCCGTGCCTGGGCTCATGAACCAAGTGAAAGGCCTAACATGTCACAAATTGTTTCGATAATTTCAGCTCCTGAATTTTGTTCACTTCGTGATGTTGCCACGTTGTCAGATAATAGTGCATTGATTTGTGCTACTGGATTTCAAAAAAGCGATTCATTTGAAAATAATAACAGGAAAAAATTCGGCCTTTTCCTGAGCAAAATTGGCAAGCAAATTGATTTTCTTGAAGTTGATGGAAGCAAATGGAATCCGAATGGACAGCGACTTGTTTGCGAAAATTTAAACAAGCGTACAATAACTAGTTCTTGTATTGTAAATAGTAATCAACTTTGGCTTGGCGATTCTACCGCTTGTATCAATATATATTGTTTCAATGATGATTCTAATTATCATCAAGATAATGCATTTCAATTGCTTTGTATGGTAAAACTTGAATTTGAAAATCCTGCTTCGGTCATTGCAATCAAATCAATTTGTTGGATAGAAAAAGTTGAACTAGTCATCATCTGCTCAAATAATGGCGAAGTATGGTTACTGAATTTCAAAAACATAATGAACAAATTAGAAACTACTATTGATTTAGATGTCACTTTAACATCAAGTTCATTGGGAATCAAAAAGATTGATAATAATAACCTTCCTACTTTTTGCGTTGCTAACGTAGCTATTGATTCATCAAACAAAACTGTAAATAATAATAATGATGATACCCAAACTGGAATATATTTCGATATCTGGTGCGGTCAAATTGAAGGCCAGATTGTAATATTAACATTTAAACGTTCGACATTGGAAATTGTGAGACAAACTACAATTGATCATTATATTGATCGACATTTTAATCAATTCAATGTTCCTATTGCTGAACGAAATGATGTATTCCTATTGGTCGGTACGAATAATCAACCATTTGTCTTTTCTGTTTTATATTCAGGTTTGAAACGAATTATCTCATTTTCAATATTTTCATTTGAATCTAATTATTACTCTTATATACAGGCTATATAATTTATCAATGGGATGCTCAAAAGAAAATTATTACTCACAAGTTGGATTGCTCAAAACTTGCTCCTTGTTCGGAAAGTCTTATGTCGATTAGTATTGAAGATCATCTCAAACGTATGTGCATTTAAATTTTTTTTTAAATTATTGATTTATTCCATAATTTTTTTTTCTTATTTTCGCAATCATATAAATAGCTGGAAATTGTCGAATCAGTGAAATAGCTATCAATGAAGATAATGATGAGATCTATGTTGGTACTAATTTTGGTTGCATTATTGTTGCCGAACTAAAATCACTTAAACCAATCACTGTATTTCGGCCATATCAACGTGAAGTAAAATTTATAATTACATTGAATAATTACGGCAATAAAATTCACCATACAATGATAAATTCAACCAATGACGATGAATCTCATCATGAACAACGTTTGGATAATAACGAAACGAATGATAACAACAAAGAAATTCGAAATAAAGATTTCTCATTATCATCTATTAGAAATATTTGGCCATTTAATAAATCAACGAATAATAACGTTACGAGTCCAACAGTTGATAGTAAAAAGACATCAATGAAGCCACCGTTAAATAATGATAACAAATTGAAAAATATTCTACCGAAAAAGAAAAACATTAAACCATTCGTTACAATTGGAAGAGGTTATCGAAATTTACTGGACAGATTTACTTGTTCTTCAAATCATCATGAATCATCGCCAAGGAATAACGACATTTACAGTGATTCCAATAAAAATATCAAACTAAAATATGCCAGTCAATTTCATGCCATTATCTGGGATTCTGGTTTTTGGAATTTTTCATAATTTTTCAACATTTTTTTCTATTGTTCAACAAAAAAAAAAACTTTTCCAATACAAACAAATATTTTTCTCTCATACAAACATACCTATCCACCGATTCACATTACTTTGTTATTTACTTCATTGTTTTTATTGTTTTTAGTTTTTATGAAAAATTTAATTTTCTCTAAATTAAATATAAAAAAAATCACTATTATATTTACAAAAGAAAAAAAATGAAAACATTATAACAGTTTTTTTCAGAAAAATTACCACCATAATGGACTGGTCAATTATTTCGAAGAATATTCATATTTATGAGAAGTTTGATTACAAAAATTGCATTTTTTTCGAACAAATAATAAAAAACAAAATATACAAGTTTTGATCATTGTCAATTATCATTCAAAGAACAAATCATTAGTCGCACTATATATATATATAGTTTTAATGCGATTTGATTAGACAGACTGAGAAGAAAAATTAACATTTTTTTTCATTTTTCTTTCAGGATTCTTTCGGAAAATAAATAAAATGAGAAAAAAAAAATAAATAAAAATAAAAATTTCATATATATGACTTATAAAATCAAAAGAAATAGAAAATTATTACTTTTCTAAATCATTTTATGAATGACTGGAAGTCTATAGTTGAATTTTGTAGTGGCGATAATTTCATTTCACATTGGTTTCATTATTGAAAGTTACTATTATCAGTTTTGTTTTGGTTTGCAGGAACGGTTCCAGACCACCTACTATCCCAATGAAGATTATAATCAAAATAATGATATGAAGATGTATTCATTTCATTTCGATTCAATATTATATCTGGATCCTGTTGTATTCTGTGTGTCGTTCTATTTGGTTTTAAACTACCAATCCGATATGATTGAAGCCGTTGTCTAGTAGATGGATATTCTTCCAAATATCTATTATAAGACATTGGTATGAATCGATTTAGATTATGATGATTGTTTTGCTGTTGATGATTGAATAATGATGGTGGTAAAATATTTCTATTCATACGTTCTTCGTGGCCATTCGTTGGACCTATTCTCGATTGGCGATTATTTTTAAAATTTCTTCTCGGTTCAACCATTTCAGTATCATTACTTTTACTTCTTGTGACAAACATTTTCGATGCATCTGTTGATTGTTCCAAACTATCGCTTAAATAGCCATCATTAACATGATGATTTTCGATTATTCTTTGTGGCTGTTTTTTCACTATCATATCGACATGATGATCAATTTTTGATTCAGCAGCTTTCCAACTACTTTCACTACATTCTTCAGCACTTGTACCAAGTCCAAGATCTTTTTCAGCTACTACACTACTGTCAGATACCGAAAGACTTTTTGATCCTTCCACACTAACTTCGTCCACAATTCGTGGTCGTCGATTTTGTTTGATATTATATCAACAACAGTATGATTTTCACTGTTGCATGCAAGATTTATGTAAGAAGGTCGTGGAATGTATATTGGGCCACCATTTTTATGAACAATAGTTTTTCCATCGAAAAATTTTTCTGCCGTAAAAAACGGTAACTCTTTCTGCATTGTTTGTAAATTTGTTGTTTTAAAATGATAAGGCTGTGGAAGTTTGCTTGATAAATGTAATGATTTGTTGTCTGATGATTGACCTTCTGACAATAATTTCGGTGGTTGGCGACAAATGTCGGTTAATGAAAGTAAGGACTGGTAGTAAAAGGATACCATGTGTTGCACCGAATAACATCACAAGAAAAACAGTTTTGAAAAAAGTCACAAATACATAAGACGGTGCAAATGCTAATGCTATTATACCAAGAACTGTTGAAACACTGCCTTGAAAAATTGGTAATCCTAATGAATAAAGAGCCGATTTTACTCGTTCACCGGGAGTACGTTCATTACAAGAAATATATGCATAGGAAATGTGTGCAGAAAAATCTACAGAAAAACCTATACACATGATCAAATTGATCATCGATATTGAATCCAAATTGACATTCCATAATGTCATATAACCGATGACGCCAATTTCAATCGATATGATTGAAAATGCTACCCAAATAGCACATGATGGTGATGGAATGAATATTAACGAAATGGCCATCATTACGATTGCAGCAACAGTTATGGTCTGAATCGATATGCTACGAACCAGAACAAATTGATCAAAAAATATGAAATAATGATGATAAATAGTAACATGGAATGGAAAACTATCAGCAATTCCACGCAATGAAATCAGCATTTCTTTTTCCATATTTGCATCAAGAATGTTTTTTGCTTGAATTATATATCTAGATGCAATGACTTCGGAACCATCTTCATTGAAAACGACATCAAAACGAAATTGTTCAGTTAATGGAAAATGGAGAAAAATATCACGTAATCCACGATAAAAATCCAATGGATCGGATACATTTAAAGCCTATAATAGTTTTAAAAAAAAAAGTTTTAGAATTATTCTCAAAACTGCTATATAATGATAGTACCTGAAGGAAAAGAAAACTATCGTCTTGGCCAAGAAATGTCAAATATGATCGAAGCCATGATTCAGTCATTGATTTATCAGCCACATAAGGACTTTCTTCGAATTTTCGTAACATATCTTCAATTTGTTGTTGAATTTTCGGATCTGCATAGTTCATCGTTTCATTGACGACCACTTGTATCCGATAAGGATATTCACGAAAATATTTATCCTCAAAATCATAGAATTGTATCGAATATGAATCATCTCGTGATAATTTTCTTCTATCCAATCCTTCTTTTATTACACTGCAGCCATAAATACCGATGAATAAATAGATGAGAAATACACTTATGACCAATAGCTTGACCAATGGCCGATTCAATGATTCTGCCAATACATCACGAAAAAATATCATCATCATATGTTCTTTGTTATCTTTTGGATTATCCGGATCATTTGGATTACGTCCTCCAGTACAAAGTAAACGGAAGAAAAAGCCCTTATCCTCTGAAAATTGAAAAAAGTTGATTATAAGTTTTATTTATGAAATTGATCGATAATTATAATCATATAATATAGATAGATAACCATTTAAATACTAAAATTTCCTATCAATTAGTAGATGATCAATCTATTGATGAATGATCAAAAAACGAAATTAAGTAGAGAAAAAATAAATAAATAAATAAATGAAAAAAATATGTCATACCCGCAAGCGATTTAGGCAACACCGGTATACAAATTAGACCATGAAGATTACGGCGTTCAACTTCACCAAAATAAGCCATAAGACCGCCAAAAAATGTTATATGATAAGCATAGGTGAATAGTACAGCAACCGATGTATAGATGCAAAAGATTCGAACCTGTAACAATACAAAAAAAAGGGTCAACCATTATTATAATCGATGAATAGTGTTAGTGAATATATATTATCTATTTGAAATGATTGAAAGACTGTCAAATTTAAATGGATTATCGCTTTCACTATAATATATCTCAAAGAATGACGAAAATAATATTCAAACTATCGGATTTTCTTTGCTTTTCATATTGTTTCTCTTATTTGTGTTTTTTTTCTTGCGAACAAAAGTAGCATGAAAAATTGAAAATGAATGAACTTTAACAAACTAGTATATAAAACAAAAAAAAAAAACTTGTATGAATCAAATAGATCAACTAATAGGTGATTAACATGGATACTATTACATATATAACAAGTGTATTTAGAAGTAATAGAAATGATTGGATAAATTGGATGAATAGAATGATTTGGAAAAAAACAAAAAAAAAAACAGTGAAGTCAAAATCCAAATGGAAAAATAAAATAAAATCAATGTATATATGAAAGGGGATATAATATTACCGATGGAAAAGGCGTGATGATGCCGATCATAAATGAAATAAAATTGGTCAATGATGTAATTGTAATGGAGACAGCTGCTTCCGCATATGTATGACTTAATCGTTTTGGTACACTCATTGTTGGATTGGTTCGTCGCCATGCAGCCAACAATACGAATGCATCATCCATACCGACACCTGTTGTAATGAAAATCATTAAATGAAATTGAATATTTTTTAGTGGTAAACAAATTAGTAAAAAAATTTACATTAATCATTATTTTTAGAAGAAAAAAGAATGAATTAAATGTCAAATATGATGACCAGTCACAGATTTCTGGGTCATTTATTTTATCATATTTTTTTTGGGGAGAAAATTTCCACTTGTTTATACATTTGTCTGTGTGTTAATATTTAACCCAAATAACTTTTTTTCAAATTCATTTTAGATTTTATGGAGAATGTGTGTATTGCGGTTAAACAAACAAGGTCAAAAACGGTGTTTAGTTTTTTTTTTGCTATATCTCAAACAGACAATGTTTGTATGTTGTTTGACTTTGAGTATTTATTTTATCTTCAATTAATAGCCAAACAAAATGAATGTTATTTCTACAAAAATAGCCTATGCATCTATCCATCCATCCATCCATCCATCAATGATGGAATCATTTTCCGTGAAAATGGCAGAAATAAAGATTATTCAATTGGAAAAAAAATTTGGAATAAAAATAGAAATTTCAATGATCAGATTATGGTCATCATGGAATCAAACCATTTACGATGACCATCATCAACTGTAGATGTTGAATTTATACTCTCTCTCTCTTTCTCTCTCTCTCTCTTACGCACACATACACACACATCTATCTAAATTGAAATCGAAAAGTTTTTACCATTCAATTTCAAAATCTGGAAAACCTATCAATTATTTAAATGAGAAACAAAAACAAAAATAAAAATTATCAATGTTGTTGTCGATTAATGTGGCTTAAGTCTTCATTCATTCATTTGACTTTGACTTTCGATTCAACATACATTTTTTTATCTGATTATCTATTTATCTGTTTAAATATACTCTTATTATTACAAATAAATAATCACAAGATCGATGGACCGAATTGAATTTATATTCATTCATCGTTTTAGTTTACATTTTAGTCTAAAATGATTTTTAGATTTTCAAATTGTATATACAGGTTAGCAGTAAAAATTTTTTCTTCTTCTTTAACTCTTAAATTTAGCATTCATATGGCCATATATCATTTTCTCAACAAAAAAAAAACAACATCCGACAATTAGTGAAAGGGAATTATTTATTTTTTTATTGAAAAATTTTTTCAAACAAAAAATTTTCTATTCAAAAACAAAACCAGCTATGTGAATGGTGGAAATAAAAAGTCAGCAACAAGTTTCTCCAACTTTTCATACAAAAGTATTTAAAAACTTCACGATCACTTATTTGACACACAATGATGATGATGATGATATCGGTCAATGATAGTTATCATTCATGACATATTGATATACATTTTGGCGAAAAAAAAGTCGTATAGATTGATAAATAGATAGCCATTTCATCATCATCAACATCATCAACATTGACAACGGAAAAAAAGGCAAAACATTCGGGTCATTTAACATTGCATACAATTGGCCGTTTTTCATTTATTGTCTAAATTTATTATTATTATTATTGATTTATTTACAAACACTTTGAATCAAATAATGGACATTGAATTTTGAAAAAAAAATTTTGAGTGATATCATTCACATTCAAATGTGATGATGACCAAAATCGTTTTGTATATACGTGTTTGGTTGTTGAATTTTTTTTCTGTTTTTTTTGAATGACCATCTTCATTAACCTTGACCTTATGTCCGAATGCGTGTTTCATATACTTTTATTATGTACCGAATATTTTCGATTATTTAGGATGTTTAAAATAATACACAAATGAAAGAAAAAAACAAAATTTTCACATGTTTTTTTTGTAGTTTTACTTGATTCAATGACACAATTGAATTTATTGAATATTTTTACTTTTTTGAATCTTGTTGTACTATTGTGATTAACCTAAATTGTAAAAATTATTTTTGAACACGAATTTTTCAATCGTTAAAACTGGTTATGATGATGTCAGATGTTGAATGTTTTGAATTGTTCATTGAATAAACAAATGAACCATGAAATTTTTTCTGGTTCAAATTGTGTTACCTATTATGCAGCATGTGTGATAAAATCTGATGAACATAATTATTATTGTATATGAATAGAAGACAAAAAAAATCATATAATCAAGCTAATTCATATCATTCACGCCACCACTATTTACGAATATGACTAATTAGATTTTTGTCATTGTCATTTGTGTGAAACATGTTTGTAAGGTAGTGAAAATCAAAAAATGGAATATATTAGGCGGTACATATGGATTAGCCAATTTACATTTGATAATTGAATTTCTCTATCATTTGAAATATGACGCAAACAAACACAATTAAATCTATGTATAACTAAAATAACCAAAATACTGGTAATGGAGGAGAAAAAGGGATATTTCTCATTTCATTTTTTTCTCCTTTTTTTTCAATCAAGTTTTATGTTCAAAAAAGAAATTTTATATAACAATAAAAATTTTCATCTACTGGACTGTAATTTTTCAATTGTTAACCGGATTTTCAACTGTTCCTGTTCAAAAAAAAAAAAAAAATTTTGGAAAACGGATGTGAATGATGACAGAAAAAAAAAGAATGAGAGAAAAGAAAAACATTCATTTTGCTAGATGTTGAATATTGAAATTGTTTGGTCATATGGACAATTGTATATATCGCCTTGTATGTGTGATAAATGTATTGCAGCATTTCATGGTTAACTGATAAATTGTCGTCATTGTTTTTTTTTGTCGCAGTTGAAATGATCTAAAACAAACTGGCCAACAACAACAACAACAACAACAATGAATAAAATTTTTGTTTCCATCATCAACATTTGTTTTTGTTTTTTTTTTTGGAACATGATTACAATTTCCCTGAGGAAAGTAACACATACATTCAATCAGATACATATATAGAAGAGGCATTGATCCTAGGTCTTAAGCGAAAACATATGCAGACATTTAATTATACCAGTCTTGTGTTTATATGACAGATACAGGTACAGGTAGCAATGTGACAATTTATTTCATTTCATTTTTTTTTTTACTAATAAACAGAAAAACAATTTATATGACACACATATTATATTGAATGTTTTTTCATGCATAAAAATGGATCTATTTTTTTTCTCCATAGAAATAGGTAGAAAAAAAAGATCATTGATATATATTGAATAAAGTAATCACAAAAACACACACACACACCATTATCATCTCTAATAATCAATGATAATAATAATCACTTTACTTTCAGAAGCAAAAAAAAAATGGATATCCGAAATTGGATTCAGTAACATACAAATAAAAAATCAAACAGACAAATAACGGAAATGATAATAAAAAGGTGAAATGAAAGTAATAATTATATATTTGTCAAATGTAAACACTTACCTAACATTAAGAATGGAGCTGCTAGATTGATGCCAATCATTTCGATACCACAATAAACACAAAGACCGAATGCACCAATAACGGCAATACCGGCCGATAAACAACCCATTAGACCTAGCCATGGTTTGGATCTAACCCAATCAAACATCATACAGGTGCCAATACTAAACACAAGCATAATGGCTATTGTAATACTGAAGAATGGCACCAAACTATGTGTATTACTATCAAGCTCTTTTTGTAATGTAGTCGATATAAAACGTGAAACAATAATGTTCTCAAATTGAACTGATGCAGCAAAATCAAGAAATCGTTGTTCCCATAATTGGCCACGAATATCACCATTTTTGATTGTTGTATCAGCGAAATACATTAAATTTACACCTTTAGCCGATTCGATGATGTTATTAGCATCACGTTGAACACCACCAAGATAAGCGGGAAAAAAATATGCTTTATATGTTTCATGATTAACCCAAATAGGATATTTAAGAAAATATCTATTCGCTTCAATATCATCGATTTTGTTATCAAAATCAAGTATATCATTGTTGAAACATTTAAATTCATGTTTGGCGCACATATCTTGATATCGATAAATTTTATCATCCCATTCAATTGTTAGATTTTTGATGGCACTATCTAGTTGCATTAATTCATTCCAAACGGATCTTCTTAATACAGAACCACCATCACGAGCCGTTATAATTAATCGTCCAAAACGGCCTTTATGAGTGATTCGGCCAAGATTAAAATTCTGTGTATAATTGATGGGAAAATATTCATCAATAATGGCACGTTCAAGCTTAGAACGGCCATCGGTTGGTGAGAACAGATATTCAGGATCATCCTCATAACGTAACCGTTGTAGACCGGTAGCTAGTATACATGCAATGAAAAAAGGCACAAGCACAAAATAACCAGGATATTTGCCTACGATGTATCCCAATTTTTGGAAAACAATCGATAGGGCCGTATCGATGCACATACAAGTCATGATTATTATTAATTGATGCCTGTTGATTTAATTGGTAATTGGATGAGCTGATGAGTTTATTGTTGGTTATTTTCAAGGACCAGATTTGGTCCTTTATGATGAAAAAACAAACTAACTGTTGATGAAATGATGATGATGTTAATGATGAAATGTAAAATGATTTACAAATAATAAAAAAAAGAAAAGAAAAAACCGATTGACCGACAAAGACAACAAAAAAAATACCAAAAACAATCACGATCTATGTCTTCTTTCAATGATCCAGAAGCTTATAATTGCACACTTTTCAATCGATTTCTTCTTCTTTCACTATCTTCTTTTTTTCGAATATTTCTCTCTTCGGTTCGTTCTTTCTTTTTCGTTTGATTTTGACTGACTTCTTGTTTTCTGTTACTGCCATTCATATATATTAACAAGAAAAAAAAAAAACGTTATCGTTGGTCTAATGTGTTGATGATAACTCGAATCATGCCCATGCCATCATTGTCGTTGTCGTCGTCGTCGTCGTTGTTGTTGTTGAAGTGTATAGAAAATAAAGACAGTGATGACCGTTATAGTGGAATGCGAACAAACCGTTATCCCGTTTGAAATAAATGATTCAAATGTTTGAGAAAAGAAAATCTTCTTTTACGAATAAGTATAAAAGAGATCGGTGACCAATGCATCAAGATATGGCTACTGTCGATATCGATGTCGAATGATGTTGTCTCTGTCAATGTATGATGATGTTCATTACTACCACCACCATCATCATCATCACCACGAATTATATATTAAAATACGAACACGACCAAACTGAGATCCAAAGTAGCCAACAACAAACAGACACACACACACACACAAGATTTTTAATGATGGATTAAATCGAGCAAATTGAGTTAAGTTGAATGAATTGCCTATTTTTTTTGTCTAATTCCCCGGACAATTCGAAATCGATCCGAAATTTTCGACGTTTAGCCTAGAAACATATCTACATTCACTGAAAACATTAACAACTACAAACACAGTGCACACAAATTGAAAATCGATCAGATTTATTTAGTTGAATAATAATAATGGTCATAGAACGGAAATTAAAATTTCAACTAAAAACCATAATATAAATGAATGAATGAATGAATGAATGTAAACTTTTCCGATGCCATTGATGATATGATGGTCAGTGTCGAGTAAAAAAAAAGAAAATGAAAAAAACAACCGGTTTTTCTTCACTAAATATCCGGTGATAATCACAAAATCACAGATTTAGATTGGTAAAAATTTTCACTTTTTAACATTTTCAAATTTCAAATTTTTTTCATATAATCACAGAATTGAATAAAGTTCACAATCACAATTTGTAAAAAAAATGCATAGATGAAATAAAATGGTTGTTTTGACATTCGAACAACACACACACACACACACACACACACACACACACAAACCAACCATATAGACAATGAATGTCGAATGAATTTGAATGAAATGATTTGGTTTAGTTTTTTTTACCCATTTTTTTGTTATTAACGCAATGAAATTCACTTTATTTCTGCTACAAAATTGTGTGTTGTTGGAACGACATGTTTCTATTGCTGTTCTTAAGATTGAAATTTATGTATCACAAAGAAAAAGAAAAGGAACTGCACACACACACACACACACACATTGTTGCAAACATCGACAATTTGAAATTGAATGAAAATTTAAACGACATTGTAAAAGGAAATCATGCATTCATGCATGATATATTTTGAATCACAGAAAAAATATTGAAAAAAAATTATAAATCAAACACAAATATGAAAGTGGAATCAAATTTTTTCCCCGTTGTTGTTTTATCTATAATTCAATGATTATTTTGATGTGTTGGACATTAAAAATGAACAATTAGAATCGGTGAAACACGTGCACGTGTTTCAAAAAAAAAAACGAATTTTACCACAATTTGGCACAACGATAAATTTATTGTTTGAATGTAAAAATCTCTGTTAATTCTAATGGAAAAAAAAAAACATCAACCACGATGAGCAATGATATTTGTGATCATTCATGTCAACGTGGAATATTTTACAATCACAGGAACGAAAAAAAATTTTTTTTTTCATTTTCTCATTCAATTATACGAAAACTTTTTTTGCATTGTTTGTGTGTGTGTGTGTGTATGGTGATGATTTTCGTTTGCATCCGCTATTTTATTTTATTTTTTTCCATTCATTCATTCTTTTTTCTTTTTGATGATGATCATATTGTATTGTTTGATTCGATAAATCTATCGATGATAATAATCATTGTCGAATTACGGATATGCGGATATATATCGAAGAAACAAATACATACGGACACATACATACACACACACACACACAACATAATGAAGATGATGACAAAATAAAGATGATGATGAATAATCTTGACATTTCAATTCATTCTCAATATGAAACGTCATTATCGATTTTGACTGCTTTCCATCATCATCATCATCATCATCATTATGGCATCAAATTTTCATTTTTTTTTCGCTGTTTTGTTTTGGAACAAATATGTAATTGTCCTTGCCTGTATCCTGTCAATTACCATTATTATTTACTATATAGTGAATGATGGATTAAGAAGGGGATAAGGGGGGAGACAAACGAATGGGCCGTTATCGAACAAATCATCCCGACAAAATTACCGATGTAATAAATTATATGAATGGATAAAATTATCATTATTTTATCGATTTGATAAATAACGTTGTTGCCTGAAACCTTTTTTTACTGTTTTCCTCATCAAAATCAATAATGTTTTCTAACCAATGATGAAAGAATCAATTCGATTCTTAAATTTTATTTTTCAAATAAATCATATTGAATAATGAAAAAATTTTAAATTTAGTAAAAACATTAAATTGATTTGTTGCTGTAGTTGTTGTTAAAATTCGAATAATAATGTTATTATCACGAACAAACGAAAAAAAAATCGATTGATTGATTGATTGATTTTTTTTAACCTTTTTCGTTCTCTGGAACAAACAAAGGTGGCAGAAACAGAAAAAACTATAAAGTTTTTGATGTCCATATATATATATTGTGATTCTCCCTTTCTCTCTTCTATCGTTTTCCCAGTTTTATCTATCACCTTACCTTATGACAACACGGAAGTGTGCGATAAATGTAGTGAAATACAAAAAAAAAATTTAATTTTCTGTTAGATGATAATGTTTGCTTAATAATGATATTGATGCTTTTCTTTTGTTTATAACTAATATTTTTTTTTTTGGTTTGGTTTGGTTCCAAAGCAAAAAAAAAAAATTCAAAATTGAACTTTTATTGAATTCAAAAAAAAAAAAAAATACAAATCAAGATTAAAACGCCATCTTTTGTCGATCAATAAACATTATTTATTTGAAAAAAAACATTTATAAATTCCGCATTTAAAAATCATTGCATTTGATAATTTTGGATTATTGTTGAGACAGTTGTTGTTGTTGTTGTTTATGACTAGAATGATCGATTAATATCCATTCACCATCTAAACGTTGTGGAACTGTATCTTTTTTTCTCATCAATTCAATCATTTGTTTAGCAAATGATGAACGAGTTTTTTGTAGATTCATTTTCTCTGTTGTCAGATGAATATAATGGGCTGATGAATCTTCAATCAGATGTGGATTGTTTCGTTTCTCCTCCAATTCTTTTATTCGATTCATCCAAAATTCACATTCAGATTTCATTCGATATAATTTTAATGCTGATTTGCGATGATTTTCAAATACAATCATTGATTGACTATTCTGAACGTTTGGTGGCGGTGGTACAAAATGTGGCGGTAGAAACAAATGAGCATTAAAATATTGGAATAATTCTTGAATTTTTTCTTCTGAAATTTCTTGATTTTCATTCACATTTTCCTGAGCTAATATGATTTGAGCATCACTTGAATTGGATCGTTTATGACCGACATTTGGTTTCGGTATTCTTGGCATTAGACAATCGTCAGAAAATATGGTATTATTGGTGGAATTCTAATAATAAACAAAATGGTCACATTTAACAACAATAATAATTAATAGAAATTTAAAAATAACTTACAGTGCCAGTATTAACATTGGAAATGTTGGCTATTCTGATATATTCAAAATTTTCTTGTTTTATCGGATTGATCTCATCGTTTGCTTCATTAGGACATAAGCTCAAGATTTTTTCCATAATTATAACAACTTTTTCCATTGAAGGACGTTTGGAATGATCATAATCCCAACAATCGGTTATTAATCGTCGCAAAATTTCTGGACAATCACGCATCATTGGCGGTCTTGTACCATTTTGTATAGCCCATAATGTGGCATAATTATTATCAAAATTCTGAAAAGGAGCTTTTCGTGACAATACTTCCCAAAGGATTATTCCCCAGCTAAATACGTCACATTTTTCGGTATATTTTTTCGAACGAAATACTTCTGGTGCCATCCAACGAGGTGTTCCCAGATTTATTGACATTGTTGTTTGTTTTTCTCGAGCCGTACCAAAATCACAAATTTTTAATGTACGACATTTGTTTGTCAAAAGTAAACTATATATATATTTAGGACAACAAAATAATGCATTAGAACACCTGTTCATCGGTACATGTACATACTTTAATGGTTTAAGATCACGATGAAGAATATTTAATGAATGTAGATAATGGACAGCACGAGCACATTGTAGGCACCAGGAAATGGAATGAGCCAATGTATATTTCACTGTACGCATATTTGTTGCATGTAAAACTAAATATAATGACAAAATCATATAGATAGATTATAATATTATTATAGATTATGAAACATTCATAATTACAATTAAAAAGATTGCCACCATCAGCGAATTCTAGAATAAGGCCAAAATCATTTTTTTCAACATTCAATGTAGTTCCATAAACACCAATAATATTTTCATGTTTGACACGTGACAATTGTTCGGCTTCTTTGAAAAAATCTTTTTTATTATAAATATATTTGATGGCAACTTTTTGTCCTTTCCATGATGCTTCTTTTACATAGCCAAAAGTACCATAACCGAGCATCTAAATGAGAATTTTTCAAAAATAAAAAATAGTAAAAACAATTCATAACAGGTTGAATAAATAAATAAATATACATTAGCAGCGATAAATTCTCCTGGATCAATATATGGAAGATTTATATGATTTAATGATAAATCTTCAAATTGATTATCAACCGAATCATTCATAATTGGGCAGCAATTTATATATAATGTAAATGTAAAATATAATGAAAATGGAATGATTAAAAATTTTTGATTTAGATTCAGGTAAGTATGATCAGGTTAAATTCATATAGACCATCATCATCATCATCATCAATATAAACCACCACCTCATCATCATCATCATCAGCATGATCGAGCTATCAAAAAAAAAAAAAAAAAAAATATCCAAGAGACAAAATAAAATGAATGAAAACAAACAAAAAAACAAAGAAAAAGATGCGGACAAAAACATAGATTAATGCGACATCTATCGAATAAAAGAAATAATTGAATTGACACTTGTTGAAAATTTTTTTTGTTTGTTTGTTTGGAATGTTTATTGCTGAAAATTAATACTTTATTCGATTCGATTTTTTTTTAAAATCTGGTCCAGTTTTTTTTTAGAATTTCATCTAGCCACATGACAATGAAATTGACATATTTTAAGGAAAAGAACACAAAATTATTTTGATTGAATTTTGATAACGGAAAAGGTTAATTGGAAATCATCGGTATTAATCATACTACAAAAAAAAATGCCTCACATGTTATTTTTCTTGAATATGGTAAATGCAATCATGGAATGGATTTTGTTTAAAACTAATCAAGTGTTTCATTTTTTTTTAGAAAAAATAGCAATCAATTAGAAAAATGTATTTTGAATGAATGTAGAAAAAAATTGTCATTACTGTTATTCGGAATATAGTTTGGAAATGTGATTTTTGCCATTTCGGAAATGTTTTGGATTTTTTTTTTTTTTTTTTTTTCACCAAGCTATCTTCTTCTGTCAATTTTAAAAGCATTTACGATGAACAATTGATGGTCCTGATTCATCGTATTCTTGTTTCGAAATCCACATCTGTTGGAAGGTTGATAATGAAGCCAAAATTGAACCACCAATCCAGACGGAATATTTTCGCTCTGGTGGAGCAATGATTTTGATTTTCATTGTTGATGGTGCCAATGCAGTGATCTCTCTTTGCATACGATCAGCAATACCTGGATACATGGTTGTACCACCAGATAAAACTGTATTGGCATACAAATCTTTACGAATGTCGACATCGCATTTCATGATCGAATTGTAGGTAGTCTCGTGGATGCCATTGGCTTCCATTCCGAGGAATGATGGTTGAAACAGAGCCTCTGGGCAACGGAATCGCTCGTTACCGATTGTGATGACTTGACCGTCAGGCAATTCGTAGGATTTTTCCAATGATGAAGAGCTAGCAGCAGTAGCCATTTCCTGTTCAAACTCCAAAGCTACATAGCAAAGCTTTTCTTTGATGTCACGAACAATTTCTCTTTCAGCTGTGGTGGTGAATGAATAACCACGTTCGGTCAAAATCTTCATAAGGTAATCGGTGAGATCACGACCGGCAAGGTCAAGACGAAGAATAGCATGTGGGAGAGCGTAACCTTCGTAGATTGGAACAGTGTGCGATACACCATCACCTGAATCAAGAACGATTCCGGTGGTACGACCAGAAGCGTACAACGATAGCACAGCTTGAATGGCAACATACATGGCCGGTGTGTTGAATGTTTCAAACATGATTTGGGTCATCTTTTCACGGTTAGCTTTCGGGTTCAATGGGGCTTCGGTCAAGAGAACAGGGTGTTCTTCTGGAGCAACACGAAGTTCATTGTAGAATGTATGATGCCAGATTTTTTCCATGTCATCCCAGTTAGTGACAATACCGTGTTCAATGGGGTATTTCAAGGTCAAAATACCACGTTTTGATTGAGCTTCATCACCTACATACGAATCTTTTTGGCCCATACCAACCATGACGCCCTAGAAAATTTAATGAATCATTTATTAGATAAAAAGTAAAAATAATGGAAAAGACGACCAAAATTTACATACCTGATGACGTGGTCGTCCAACAATGGACGGAAATACTGCTCGTGGAGCATCATCACCGGCAAATCCGGCTTTACACATACCGGATCCATTATCAATAACTAAAGCGGCAACATCATCGTCACACATTTTCAATGATTTTTATCGGTGAATTTAATAATGAAGAAAAATAAATATATTCGATAATTAACACTTTCTCAAGAAAAAAAATTGAAAGATTATATGATTCAATAGTTTTGCTTTTGGCCGTTTGATGATCACACACAGACAAAAAAAAAGACAAATTAAGTCCAATAACGATAAAAAAAACAAAGTGAATGAAACAAGAGAGAAAAGCTGACGTCAAATAAATAGCAATTGTTTAAAACTGCCATGAAGTAGCAGCCATGAAATATGAGTATCTTTGTGTGTGTGTGTGTGTGTGTGTGTGTCTATGTCTGTGTTTGAGATTCTTGATGTGTAAGAAAAATGACCGCCGCTGAGTGTCACTACTGACCCGGTCGTCCCACCCAATTTATATATTAAAATTATAGCCGCAGACGCTGTTTGCTTTTTACAATTGAAATTGTGGGTGCATGTTCAAATGTTTGCAAAATAAATATAAAAAAAACAAAAAAATAAAATCTTTATAAGATACGGATGCCGCAATATTCTGTTTGGTTGTTGTTGGCCGATAAATGTCATGATAATACGCATGACAACAATGCCAATATATTGGCTAAAAAGAGGTTCCCTATTGTAATAGCGATAATGATAATGTTGGTAATAAACAATAGCGCCACCGTTGTAGATTTTTTTTTGGAAAATATAAAATCCATTTCAATTTGAAATTACCGCCATAATTATCTGAAAAAATCATAATCGGATAATACTGTACACTTTTATATCACAACAATGTAAAGGGGATAGACCAAAAAAATATTAATAGAATCAAATTTTTCATCATCATCATCAACAAACAAATCCTTAATCGTTGTTATTGATTGAATCACGTTAAAATTCAATTGAATTTTTTTTTAGAACAAATTTCAATTTTAACAAGAAAATCCCGGAAAATAATAATGATGTGTAATTATTTTGTGCCATCAAAATTTATTTCAATTTTTTTTTTATATATTTAAAATGACAAATTTTTTTTTTTTTAAATAGAAAATCCATCAATGTGTTATTGTGTGTGTATCAATGTGTTAAAATGACATGCAAAGAAATTAAGCAAACATTTTTTTTACTGGAATATATTTCTCAATATAAACACACACACGCAGAGAAAAAGAGATACAGATGACATGAAAACTTTCTGTTAATAATAAAATAAGAAACTTTTAACAATCTTAAATATGGATGTTGTTCAAGATGGTGTTTGTAAATGTGTGTGTGTGTGTGTCTGTATGGTGTGTATTTGTGTGAGGGATGTAGGTTGTGTGTGTGGCTTCTGGCAGACAATTTGTTAGTTGATTTAGAAACATTTACGATGAACAATTGATGGTCCTGATTCATCATATTCTTGTTTAGAAATCCACATCTGTTGGAAGGTTGACAATGATGCCAAAATTGAACCACCAATCCATACGGAATATTTTCGTTCTGGTGGAGCGATGATTTTGATTTTCATGGTCGATGGTGCCAATGCAGTGATTTCCTTTTGCATACGATCGGCAATACCTGGATACATGGTTGTACCACCAGACAAAACAGTGTTCGAATACAAATCTTTACGAATGTCGACATCGCATTTCATGATCGAATTATAAGTAGTTTCGTGGATGCCATTAGCTTCCATGCCAAGGAATGATGGTTGGAACAATGCTTCTGGGCAACGGAATCGTTCGTTACCGATGGTGATAACTTGACCGTCAGGCAATTCGTAGGATTTTTCCAATGATGACGAACTAGCAGCAGTTCCCATTTCTTGCTCGAAATCCAAAGCTACATAGCAGAGTTTTTCTTTGATGTCACGAACAATTTCTCTTTCAGCCGTGGTGGTGAATGAATAACCACGTTCGGTCAAAATCTTCATAAGGTAATCGGTGAGATCACGACCGGCAAGGTCAAGACGAAGAATGGCATGTGGAAGAGCGTAACCTTCGTAGATTGGAACAGTGTGCGATACACCATCACCTGAATCAAGAACGATGCCGGTGGTACGACCAGAAGCGTACAACGATAGCACGGCTTGAATGGCAACATACATGGCCGGTGTGTTGAATGTTTCAAACATGATTTGCGTCATCTTTTCACGGTTAGCTTTCGGGTTCAATGGGGCTTCGGTCAAGAGAACAGGGTGTTCTTCTGGAGCAACACGAAGTTCATTGTAGAATGTGTGATGCCAGATTTTTTCCATGTCATCCCAGTTAGTAACAATACCGTGTTCAATGGGGTATTTCAAGGTCAAAATACCACGTTTTGATTGAGCTTCATCACCTACATACGAATCTTTTTGGCCCATACCAACCATGACGCCCTAATTTTATCATATTTTATCATAAGCATCAATAATTTAAGGTATTATATTATTGGGTACATACCTGATGACGTGGTCGTCCAACGATGGAAGGGAAGACAGCTCGGGGAGCATCGTCTCCAGCAAATCCGGCTTTGCACATACCAGATCCGTTATCAATAACAAGAGCGGCAACATCATCGTCACACATTTTGGCAGATCTATATAAAGAAAAATGTAACCAAATAAGTTTTTTGAATGCAAAACAATAAGATGACAATTTCGAATTTGAAAAATCAACAGGATCCAATAAAAAAAAATCAAACTTTATTAATCAAAAGGAAACGCCCTTCTGTTGCTTATATTCCCTTCACAACAAAGAAAAACTATTAGAACTTACCAAAAATTTAGAATTTGGTTTTCTTTACAACAAAAAAAATGATTCAAAAATAAATTGGTCGGTAAATTAATTTCAATTGATGAAAATCGTAAAGGAATGTGTTGGTTTTTAAAAAAAATATAATTTTGTCGGAATGCTGATAAAACACACAGAAATGAGCACAAAAAACACACCGTTGAAATTTTTTCAAAAAAATATAGTAAACGAACGAAACAAAAGCCAATAATGAAATGATGAGGAATACGATCAGCTTTAAAAAAAAAATCAAATGATCAATAGTTGTATATGAATTAGGGGCGAACCGGCTTGCTTATAATAAGTATCGTTGCAGTTTTTTTTTTTTTAGTTAAGGTGGTGATGTCGTAGTGGTATTGAATAATGGAATGTAGTATAGATATGATTAATACATACAAGGTGGTTGTGTTGTTTTATGTATCAAACAAATCCGACAGTGGTTGTGTTTGTAATAAAAAAAAAACAGGACATTTTTACGGGCAACAAACGAAAAAAATTTTTTGCCCATCACTCACTCTCTTTCACATACACACACACACACAAACACATACTCATAGACCAAACAGGCGTGGCCATTTGATTCAAAAACTCAAAAACATGACCATATTTGGAAATTTCTCGATCACAAATATCGATCCAAGGCGGAGTTTTTTTTTCACACACACAACACACACACAGTCTATCAATGAGAGTATACCTCTACAAAAACCACCATTATGATGATGATGGCCGAACAGTGGTAAAACAATGAAATCTCATCCGCCATGACTCATGTATTCATGTTTTTTTTTCAACGAAAAAAAAAAAAAAAAAAAATACAACTCCACCGCATTGCGCCGGCTGGTTTTTTTTTCAACAAATTCTTTTTTTTCTGTTTGTTTTTGTCTGATAATTTTCATTTCATTTTTTTTTTTTTTTTTTTAGATTTCGAATCTGATATTATGATGATGATGATGATAATGACCATGATGATGATTGTCGAAAAAAAGAAAACAAGATTCTTTCTCTTCATCATTTATTTCGTTTTTCTTTTGATGATGATGATGATGATGATTCTTACCCTTCACCCCCAACCATGGTATCATCATCGTCACTATCAATGTATTTCTATTTGTTGATCATATCTAGAGAGAGAGAGAGAGAGTAGTAGTAGATGTGTGTATATCTTATTCGTCCACATCATAAACATGGACAATCAAAAACTCTAAAATGTTTTGAATGTTTCTGGATGTTTTTGTTTTCGCTTTTAGTTTTTTTTTTGGTTATACATAAATATGAATCTTGATGATATTGATGATACCAGAAATTAAACATTATAGATGAATAAAAAAATTCATTGCCAATGATCAGTGCAATGTTGTTATTCAATGTCAATGTTTAATATACACACACACCCAAACCAGAAAAATCTTGATGATGATGATGCATACGGATCCCAATCGATCTTAATCATCATCATCATCATACCTCAATCTTTGTTATATTGATCTAATTTATAATCGAAATATACAATCAAATCCTATGCAATAATCTTATCAAGTGACCAAGGAAGTTTTATTTCAATTTTTTTTTGTTATTTTGAAATTTCAATTTCAATTGGGAGTTTTATCCATTATCAAAAAAAAAAAAAAAAAAAATAAACGGAATCAATTTCATTTTTCTATACAATCAATGTAACTATTTGACTTAAATCAATTATCAACACATCAAATGATGTTGTTGGATTCAAGTTATTACACACACACACACACACATATCACACATCATTGATGTTATGATTTTATTATTATATGGGCATAATTCGGTAATAACAACAAAATCTTTTTTCATTGCCTACACACATGGTGGCCAGCAAAAGCCTACACACACACACACACTGATCTGAAGAAATGAAAATGGAGAAAGTTGAAAACAAATAAAAAAACCGTTTTTTATTCAATTTTTTGAAATTAGGATACAAGTTGGAATTGGAACAATTATTTATCAGTTGTTGTTGTTGTTGTTGTTGTTGCTGTTATCATTCCTTGACACCGAAAGTAAAGTTTGAATAAAATAAAATAAAAACAACCGCGCCAATCTTTTTGTGCGTGTGTGTGTGTATTCTCGTTGTAATGAATTATAAATGAAAAATCATGCCGAATTTTGTTGTCGCCCACCTAAATTTTCTGTTTCTCTCACTCTCTCTTTTCCTTTTTTTTTACTAATTCGGTTGTTGATCATGAACCTTGAACTGGAAAAAAAAGATTTAAATAATGGAAAATAATGGAATGATGATGAAAAATAATAAAAAATCATAACGAATGATTCGAATGGAATTAATGATAAAAAAATGCTGTTATTCGTGGAAAAAAACTCTTTTACAGATGTGAACAAAAAAAATTCTCAGAATCATCAGAACCATATAATAAATCTAAACATAGTGACATGCACATTTATTTAAATCGAAAACGAGACAAATAAAAAAATGTTTTCGTGTCTACAATCATAAACAGCAAATTTGTCCATTATTATCATCATCATCATCATCATCATCGGAAAACTGATCAAATGTGAATGCTTGAATTCAAACAGACATAACGATCAAATGTTGAATGAAATAAATTGACACCATGTGTCATGTGTATCGACCTTTTCGTTGTAGTTAAATGTTTGTATATGTTATCTTATGATGATTGTCGCGTGTCTGGTATGTGGTCAGATTATTTTAATCACAGAATAGCTGCTGGTTGATATGAATAACTGGCCAGATGTATACCCTGTTTGTGTTTGTGTTTGTGTGTGTGTGTGTGTTTATGTCTGTGTGGCCATACTAAATACACCATGTGTTGACCATATTATTATTCTCTCGACAATATGTTTGAAAATCTTTCAATCAGTATACAATTGAATAACAAATAAAAATGAATGAATAAATCTATAACCGTAAATCTATCATGCTAAATGCTAAAAATAGATTCAATTTAAACGTACATCATCACATTCTTTTTGTTCATTCATAAATTTTAAATTGACAAATGAGGAATTTAGACAAGCTCAAACAAAATAAAGTTCAAGAAAAAAAAACGTGAACAAACAAAAAAAATATGCAGTTGATTAATTTTTATTTTTATTTTTCTTCTTCATATATATTGAATTTAATTTGATTCGAACGATCAGTATCATCATCATGATTTTAATGATGATGATCATCATAATTATTGCCTCTTTATATATAATATACAATATAATAGATTAAACGTGAACGATGAACATATCGATTGTTTTGTATTGGATTATATTATAAACCATCGGGACTAATCAAAATCATTGATTTGTTCATTTATATTTTAATTACCTCGAATATAAATGCTTTTTTCGGTACAATACAATATGTACAAGATTGAAATGATTGATCTGTTTCAAAAATAAATAATCAAACATCTGAACAACAACAACAACAACATTTACATACATCATTCATATATATATTTTGTTGTGTTTCGATGAATTAGTTTGAAATAACGGAAAATGAAATTTCTTTTGATAAAATTGAAGAAAAATATTTCGATCCAAAGGATAAATTTTCATTTCATCATTCCATATGATCGCAGTGTAAAAAGTTTAAGCATTTCAAAAAAAAACGGTTATTCGACCCATTTTTGGCATCAAAAAAAAATTTTTTTTCATTTAAAGATAAACACATTCATTGATACGGTAAAAATTGCATAAATTATAATTATTATTTCCTATCTTCAGATAATAACAATCGTGTCTTATGTATTAACGCAAGAAGCTATATTACTGACAACACTGTATTTTACTGAATGAAAAAAGTCAAAAAAAAAAAAATAAAAATCACCATTTCATAATGATTTCGGTGATTGTTGATTATTATCTGCAAATGAGAAATAATTAGAAAGAAAAAATCTCATCAAAAAATAGTGAGATTCATTTGGCCACTTGCAATATGATCAACTTGGTGTTGTGTGTGTGTGTCCGTTTTTATTTATTTATTTTTTGATGATGATTTCCTTTCATTTTCATTTCATTTCATTTTATCTCTCGTTTTTTATTCGCTGCTATTTTTACCCGTTCATCATCATCATCATCATCATAATATGTGGTCAATTATCAATAACAAATATGTAAAGAAAAAAAAATCTTAGCCTTTTGTATGATGAAAGCTAACTAGCTAGCTATAGCTAGCTATGGCAAAAAAAAAAAAAAAAAGATGGATTGATCCGGACATATTGGATTGTATCCATTGCTTTGCGATTTAGATACTTTCATTTGAAACGATGATTGCATACATCTCAACAAGAAGGTGGATAAATTGTATTTGCATACGCTCGATATACACTCACATACCTTTATCAATCAATTCTATTTGACATAATATGATGGTTATTATTATTATTACTTACGCCCAATGAATGAGAGATGAAAAATGGCCACATTTTTTTTTTATTTTACCTGTGACATATAAAAATCTTATATCTTTTGGCTCAAGTAACAAATATTTTTTTTTTATTGTTTGTTTTTTGCTTTCAAGTGTTTTTGTCTTGTGTGTGTGTGTGTGTGTTTTTTGATCATAGAATTTTCGAGGTTATTGAATAAGAAAATCCAAAAAAAAAACAAATTGCAAATAAATTCATTCAATACTAACACGTCACCAAAACCAAATTATTACGGTATATTCAACAATGACAAAAAAAAATCCTGACAACATTGCCTTTTCTTATTTTCTAACTTGTTGTTGTTGCACTGTTTGTTATACCTGTTGATTCGATATATATATATCATTATGCACATAACATACACATTTTTTCTTTTCTTTTTTTACGACATTTATCTATAGTTTCAATCGGAAAAAAAATCATCAAAAAAAAAGTTAATTAATTTGATCCAGATAAAAATGATGATGATGATGACAATGAGGACATCAAATAATGATGATAAAAAAAATGATAATCTTGTTAATGATGAAAAAAAAAATTTTTTTTTCTTAAGAAGACTATAATCGTGTAATAGACACCCAAACAACATTTGTAATTGAAATTATGTTTCTGAAATTTTATGATGATGATGATGATGATGATCGTAATCTATCACTTATCATCATCATTATTTGACAATGATTATAGAGATATATATAGTCGATGAACAAATGATGGAATACGGGTTGTCATATATAATGAAATGAAATCCCCCCCAAAAAAAATGAAAAAGTGAAAAATTCAGGTATATTTCAGGTTCTTTTGCTTCATTGGATCCAAGATTATCATCATCATTATTGCCATCATAAATGTCTTTTTTTGTATTGTTTTTGTTTTCAAATAATCATCAGTTTAGATTTATGTTCGATGATGAACAAACAAATAGAAAAATGGTTGATGATCAATTATATTGATTGGATGGTTTGGTCTATCTAAGCTAGATCTTGATTATCGAGGGAAATTTTTTTTGTTCTTCATTATTCACAAAATTGTTGTGTCTGTGTGAGTGTGAATGTTCGCTTCAATCGATCAATTGTTTTCGACTTTGACATTCAATATCCAATTTGATAATCCATGATACATTTGGGATGAATATCGATTATCAGGATAAAATGAAATTTTCTGAATGAAGAAAACAAAATCATTTCGACTATAAATAGTGTAATAATGATACAATCAATGAGGATCATTAATCATTGAATTGGAAAAATTCAAACGAATTTTTTTTTCTGATAAACAAAGAAAATTTATTCGATTTGAAATAAAAGAGAATCCATAAACAAAATGTCAACAAACTATCCATTTATTTTAATCATGTATAATTTGATTGATTCTTATGAAAAATAAAACCACCGCCACCACAAACATTTCATTTCATATTCATATTTTTTTTTTGTTGCTGCACCGGAAAACTAAATGGAAAACAGGATGGAATTTTGCTTTTTGCTTTTTGTTTGTTTGTTTGTCAATTTGAAATTTATCATTCTCAATAGCCAAATGACAAAAAATTTACACCGAATTTTTTTCCGCTTTGATAACAGATTTACAGATTCTTCAGAATGGCTTCGCCCATTTATTAACTCTTTTTTTTGTCAACAGGATTCAGTTGAAATTTTTTTTTTTTGTTTTGTTTGAATTTCAAACGAAACAGAAAAAAAATCATTTAACCGTTTAAAATTGTCGAGTATTTTTAATTTTGATTCCCCTCTGGTTCTTTCTGGTTAATTGTAGACAAATTTTTTCAAGTCCCCATTTATCTTGTGGTGATGAATGAAATCGAAAATAAAAATATTCAAAATTTGTTGCATTATGATTGCCATCAGCTAATAATAATAATTGTCTGGTGTCTATTTTTAAAAAGAAAACAAAAATTAGCCTCATTAATAGTAGAAGAAAAAAAAAGTATTATTAGTACCGGTTGCCGATATACGATATCTTCATTCAATCCATTGAAGATTTCTTATCATTCTTTCTATATAGATTTGGTGTTCCAAATATGTAAAAAAAGCATTTACACAGATGAAAAAAACTAGACAAAAGCGTCAATCATCATTATCATCATCAACGAAAAAAAAGTCATCTTGATATATTATAATAACAACATTTAAGATAGAAATCTATGAAGGAGAGAGAAAAAAAGAATTAAACAGACAAAAACATTGTTGGATAGAAATGGTCATCATCATTATCATCAAAAATGTGTGAATGTTTACCGTTTTAGTCATATATCATCATCATTTGTTTCCATTTTTTTTGTTCTTTCACCGGTTGATTTAAATCATTTGTAATTTAAGCCTACCAATGAAAAAAAATGAAAATCTTCAAGTTAAATATACCTTTGTTGGGATTAGGATTTTTAGTCTTCATTTTCTCATAATTATCATTAATATCGTTTGCATTTTTTTCACATTTGATTTTGTCATCGTCGTTGTTGTTGTTGTTGATAATGATGATGATGATGATCGCCATTGAAATTCATGTGAAAAACAAAAACCAACGATAATGTCAATTTTGCAGTCAGCTAATAAATAAAATGGATCGAATGTGTTTGGATAATCGAAAAAAAAATTCAGCGACATGTACGACATCTTTCGGATGGAGTTTGAAACAAAAATCGATACAAATGATTTTATTTTTCACAGTTGTCACGAATTTTATTATTATTTTCATATTTGAAAACAAATGTCATCATATCAAAGTTTATCTCAATCTTATCGATTGATGCTGCAACCATAGATTTGTTTTTATATGACAAATGAAAATGATGTAAACAAATGTTATTGATTATTTTTTTCACTTTTGGATACATCATGGAAATAATTAATGATGAATATCCCAAATGAATTCATGTTTGATTGATAAAGATAGTGTTTTTTTTCTTTATTCTCAGATAAATTACTAATTGAAATCACATAATGTCTAGGTCAGCATGTATACATTTGTGAAATTATTTGATCAAAATAAAAAATCAATTAATATTAGCATACGCCATAAATGTTAATATGAATTCTGTTCGGTCTAATGGTCATCACTGTCATCATCATCATCATCATCATCAAGGTTAGTGTTTGAAATAGAATTTAATAAAAAAAAACTACTGCATTTCTTATATTCCAACAGATATATCTCGATGATGATAATGAGATTGATATGTACACTCATCATAACAATTCCCTTGATGTTTTCTTCTTTTTTTTGGCTATCGATAAAAGTGATTGTCAAACATCGTCATCATTATGATACTATTCATATATATCAAACTAAATTTTAGATTGATTTTCAATTTCCGACAAAAACCAGACTAAACACGCATGTACGGATAAAGATTTATGAATCACATATATAAAAATGGATTCGATTCTGAAAATGAAAATATTTTTTTTTATACATTCTGATGATATTGATTTGGTGACCGATATAATTTAAATTTGGGTAATCATCAATCGATTCAAAAAAAAAAAAAAAAGAAAAAAATGCTTTCTACACACACATTGATTCTATGTTTGGTAATAATCCTACCATTTCTAGATGGTACAATTCAAGTGATGACCAAAAATCAATTGGTACAAGATTGTAATTCGACACCAAGTCTTGAAAATGGTAAGTAACGTAGAAATGGTGTGCTTTTCAATTGACGAATTATATGAAATTTATTAATTAACATATTAAATTGATAAAAAACTTGCATGTCATGATGAATGTCAAATCAAAAACAATTAACCAACTAATCAAACCTTCCCATTCAAATTAACAATGTATATGCTTTACAACAACAACAACAACAACAACGAAAACCCGTCTTTAACTAACAAATTATTGCCAAATATGGAACTTGGATTAATTCAAAGTGAATGCTCAATTTTTAGTGAATGAAGTACGAAAATTCGTTGATAATTGTATCAAAACTAAAGATGGTATTCGATTCCGTAAACGATATCCACATCTGAACAAAATGATGAATTCAAATGAGATGAGTCCGGTATTATGGCTAAAAGATCCATTGCTTTTATCCACACCATCGACAACATCATTGCCATGCGATCCTTCTCATACATCATCATGTATGATTCAACCAACGCAACAACAACAACAATCACAATCATCATTCGAAGGAATGGATGAAAAATTGATCAAAAAAATTATTCTATTAGAATTTTTGAATCAATTTCAACCACCAAAAGATACAAGCATTTTCTGATGCATAATCTTCTTCATGTTTTGCTTCATTAATTTTGATTCCATATCATTTTCAATCAAATTATCAAATTATGAAATCATACAAATTTTTTTTTATCATTCAACCATAATGTAGATGTCATGATATTGACAAATTGAATCATATCAAGTCAAAAAAAATGAACAGATTAAATAATCTTAAAAATGGAAATTTTTTCTGATGATTAAGAACCTCAACGTTATTTCAACACTAATTGTTACATTGATCAATCCAAGTTGTTAAAATTATTATATGATGATAAAATTGAATAAAATAAGAAATGACAAACATTGAAGTAAATCATATCATTGTGGTTGTTTGTAGAGTACATTTCGTATATGATTTTTTGTTGTTTATGTTGTTGTGAAAAGATGAATTCGTTTTTGTACCAAGTAATAACATTATTGTTGGTTATTATAGAGACTATCAATGGTGATCGAGTAGAAATACTTGTTCCAAAAGGATCGATTGCTGGTGAAAAGTATTCGTTGAATGATGGCCATTCTGTGACTAGATTTCTTGGCATCCCATATGCAAAACCACCGTTGGGAAAACTTCGTTATCGACGACCAGTTCTTATTGAAAAATGGAATCAAACTATTGAAGCATTACACTGGCCAAATAGTTGTTATCAGAAGCCAGAGTTTCTACATCGATATAATAATAAAAATTTTGTTGAAGATTGTTTATATCTGAATATTTGGTCACCGGATGTCAATGTCAATGAACAAAATCTGAAGCCAGTTTTGATATGGATACATGGTGGTGCTTTTACTAAAGGTGGAACAAGTGATAGTTTATTTGATTTAGAAAGATTAGCAGTAATGGCCGATGCGATTATGGTCAGCATTAATTATCGTCTATCTGGTCTTGGATTTTTCTATTCCGATCAAGTTGATGAAATCAAAGGCAATCAAGGTCTTTGGGATCAAGTTATGGCATTAAAATGGGTGAATGAGAATATACGTTATTTTGGTGGCAATCCAAATGCCATCACATTGATGGGCAATAGTGCTGGATCTTGGGCTGTCAGTTTACATATTCTTTCACCTGTTTCTAGAAATTTGTTCAATAACGCCATGATGTTGTCTGGAGCAGCAAATTATTATGCTGTGAGAAAAGCTGAAGATATAGTTCCAAAAACTTTAAATGTAATCCGTTCGATTGGTTGCGCCACCGAAGACGATACTGTTATCAATGAATCGATTGTAGAATGTATGGAACAAGCAGATGTTGAAAAAGTAGAAAACCTATCAAGTAAGAAATTGATTTAATATTGAATTGAATAAAAAATTAGTCTTCTTACTTTTTTTTCCAAAGGTATAAGATCATTAGTTGTGGTAGATAATGAATTTCTTCCAGACGATCCAATCAGTATGATTAAATCGGGAAATCATAAAAAAAATTTCAATCTTTTAGTCAGTACGGTCGAAGATGAAGGTTCATTCATATTTGCACGAACAAACGACAGTTTTGGAAAAGAAGAATTGTCATTGAATGATGCAAAATCAATTTTGATCAAAAATATTGAATTCGTCAATCAAGATGATAAATCATACGATACGGACGCAATGTTGAAAACCTATTTTGGACGATTCAATGAATTTTATGATGATACAGATTTATTTAAAAAACAAGTCGGTATTGCTTTTGGTGATCTGATTATCGCATGTCCAACATTGAATTTTGCTAAACAATTGTACAAATCGGATCCATCCACAATAAATGTTTATCAATGGTTTTATAAAGCTAAATTAGGTCGGGTAAAAGATTTATGTTCCAAATGGGGTGGTACATGTCATACTGATGAATTATATCCGATGTTCGGAAAACCATTTGAACAACGACAATATTTTCATAATCGAGAACGTGAAATTTCTGCAGAAATTATAGATTTTATCAAATCTTTCATAAGAACAGGGTAAGAAATTTTAATTGATAGTGAAAATTAATTATCCATGAATGTATGAATACAGGAAACCGGGGCAATCGCATATGGAATGGCAAAAATATTTTATGACAAATACAGGCATCAATGATGATATCAAGATGGTCATTACACCATATTATGAAATTGCCAACAATTATCGGACATATGAAAGTTTTAAATTTAATCTTAAACAGACCGAATGTGAAATTGTATGGAATGCATTGTACCAATGATGATCAAATGATGTGCATGAATAAATTTTTTTTTTGAAATATTCTATTATATCAGATCATTATATGGAATTTATATTCATACAAGTGAAGTCTGTATGAATATAATCATATATTGAAAAATGAATATGCAAATATGTCCAAGTGATCCAAGACACATTGGTAAAATTTCATAGAAATAATAAGACTTAAAATGACGACGATAGACGGCAAGTTCATGTATTTTAAAAGCGTTTGATAATGAGATAGCTTTTGAATGTTTTTGATATTTTGAATAATAATTATGTGATGTTTCGATCGATTTATCCAATAATTCATAATAAATGTCATCGAATCGATTAATAACATTCTGTGAGGTCCATGATAGAATACAAATAAATATTGATCGTAAAATATTCATGAAGAAATGAAAAAAAAATATTTCATTGCCATGAAATTTTGTTTGGCCAAAGAAAAAGACAATATTATTCAGGTAAGAAAAAACGGTGTCGATTACGCTGCAGAACAATGTCATTGAACACATCCGATTGAATTCATATAGTGTTTTACCTAAGGCTTTTATATCGTTAATCAATTCGAATGAATCATCTTTAGTTAGATTATTATCTAATTGATTGAAATAATTCATTAACAATAGTTAGTATCATCAGAATAGCTTACCATCAATTTCACTGAGCTTTCGGATCAATATGTTAAATGTTCTCTTGGATAGAGAAAACATTAAAAAATGAAGATCATAAAAGAATGCCATATAGGTATAGCCGAAATACATATGTGAAACAAGTAATAGATGTAAAAAATTAATTTGATGAAATTGTTTGTAAATAAACCATACAATGAACGCAAACATGGACATATAGCATAATAGACGAATTGATATTGATTTCGATATTTTTATATGATGATCATATTTAAATAAAATTGAACTATTGAAACATTTCAAGATTTTTGTTCCATTGAAAATAAATAAAATAATCAATACGAAATTGAATAGATTCTTAATCCGCCAAGACCAAACGAATGAAAATTTCAATAATGGCTGTGTTTTGATTGATTTGATGAATTGTGAATAGAATTCGATAAACATTTGTCCATGTGAATACAAGACAAATGATGAGGTTATAATGAAATATGTACGCCATATTGACGTTAAAATGAAAGAAAATGACAGAATCCAAGACTTTTTCGATTGTTCGTATCCATATAAGGAAATACCTAATAGACTTTGATCGATTTTTTAAATAAATAATTAATTTTTTATTATATTTTTTATATTTATAATACCTGTAAAAACGGAAAAATAAATCAATGTTTTCATTTTCATTTTCATTTAACATAACGTTGTCTTTTGATGGATCACAATTCTTATTGCGCCTCATTTTGACACAAGGTGGCATTATTGTCGTCATGTTTTCCTATTTCCGAGTTTGAGCTTTGTCCAATTCGATTTTTTTTTGTTCTCAACGCAATTGTATTTCATCATCATCAATAGCTTATTGTGAATTGTGAATTTTTTTTGATCAAACCAGAAAAAATGTCGTTTAAAATGCAAGGATATTTAAAAATTATCCAAGATGAAGCAGAAAAACTTAGTAAATGATTAATTTTGTAGCAATTTGATAAATTAATTAATATGTTGTTAAATTAGGAGAAGTAAAAGGGGTTCCACGTGGCAGATCAAATGGTGATCGAAATCGCAACACCAAAAGTAAGTTAAAGTCAACAAAATGATTATTTTTTCTATTGTTATTGTTATATTTTTCTAGACTATTCGAATCGTAATGGGGATGATCGCTTTAAACGAAATGATTCAAGTAAGCATTGTTTTTAGCTTTTCAATATATTGAACTTATTTTGTATATTTAATGTCATTCAGAATATTCATATCGTGATGATGATTTTGCAAATAAATGGACTTCTAATTCAAGTGAGTTTTAATATAATTGATTATAATCTCCATTTCAAACATTAAATTCTGTTTTCAAAGGTGGTCGAGGCCGAAATGATTACTATAATCATTGTGATCGTAATAATGAAGATTCTGATTACAAATCAAGTAAATTCCTATAATAAAGTATTAATCGATAATAAGTGAAAATTATATTTCAGACAATCGTTATCGAGGCAATGATGATGATAATAACGACCGCCGAGGAAAGGCTAACCGTATGTTTACTTGTTCAGTTTAAAATGAATCCATTTATATATTGATGTCCATCTAGCTTATGCCCTTCCACCATCTGATAGCCGTGACAATGACAAAATAGATTCTGATCGTTACAGTGGCCGGGAAAACAGTGAGTTTTTTTTAATTTTTTCAATGTAACCTGCAAATTTTGTATATCAACAGAATACTCGAGTCGTCAAAATGAAGACTCGAATTGCAAATGGACTGGCAGATCAAGTAAGTTCGCCCATTAAAGGATTATTCATTGATCATTAATCGTGAATCATTTTAATTCAGACGAACGTAATCAAGATTATAATGATGATTCTTACGGCCGTAGCGACCGCAAGGAAAAGTTCAATCGTAAGTTTCTTTATTCATTTTTTCATAAATTCATTTCAATTTATTTCCATCTAGCTTATGCCCTTCCACCATCTGATAGCCGTGACAATGACAAAAGAGATTCTGATCGTTACAGTGGCCGGGAAAACAGTGAGTTTTTTTTAATTTTTTCAATGTAACCTGCAAATTTTGTATATCAACAGAATACTCGAGTCGTCAAAATGAAGACTCGAATTGCAAATGGACTGGCAGATCAAGTAAGTTCGCCCATTAAAGGATTATTCATTGATCATTAATCGTGAATCATTTTAATTCAGACGAACGTAATCAAGATTATAATGATGATTCTTACGGCCGTAGCGACCGCAAGGAAAAGTTCAATCGTAAGTTTCTTTATTCATTTTTTCATAAATTCATTTCAATTTATTTCCATCTAGCTTATGCCCTTCCACCATCTGATAGCCGTGACAATGACAAAAGAGATTCTGATCGTTACAGTGGCCGAGAAAACAGTGAGTTTTTTTTAATTTTTTCAATGTAACTTGCAAATTTTGTATATCAACAGAATACTCGAGTCGTCAAAATGAAGATTCAAATTGCAAATGGACTGGCAGATCAAGTAAGTTCGTCCATTAAAGGATTATTCATTAATCATGAATCATTTTAATTCAGACGAAAGTAATCAAGATTATAATGATGATTCTTACGGTCGTAGCGACCGCAAGGAAAAGTTCAATCGTAAGTTTCTTTATTCACTTTTTCATAAATTCATTTCAATTTATTTCCATCTAGCTTATGCCCTTCCACCATCCGATGAAAGAGATAATGAGGATCAAGACACTCGAAATGACAACAGTAAATGATACGAATATATTGTGATGTGCTCTAATGTTTGGTTTTTTGAATATAGAATATTCGGGTCCTTTCAATGATGAGTCAAGTCTTGGCAAATCAAGTAAGTTATCATTAAACTCACGGATAAATCATTAAACAATGGAAATTTAGAGTACTCAAGCTCTTCTACTGATTGTTATGGAAATCGGGATGATGGCAGTCGTTATAATAGTCGCCGAGATAATGGTTAGTTTGTTATATCACGAATTTTTAATCTGTCTAAACTTATTCTGATTTAAAGATGAATTTAAAAAAGACCGGAGAGAAGTAGATCGTCAATCTATGGAATCTTCCAGAAATTCTTATGGTCGTGACAATGATGAACCAGCCCGTAACACTTGGAAAAGTTCACAAGTATCCGTAACAAAAGATTCTTTTCGTGATTTCGATCGTTTGCTTGTTGAATTCAAACCCCCAAAGAACTTGCGGTTGCAACACATAATCTTGGAAATCGAGAGCCGACAAATTTATGAGAAAATGGAAACTATTCTTAAAAGTTCATCGTCTAAGAAAATTGTTGTGATCATTCAACGTACTCACGAATTTTCTGATTTAACTGGTAAAGTTTTGAGTGGCAAAGGATGTTCTGTTAAAAGTTTAAATGAACAAAATATGGATAATATCGAACACAATGAAGTTCAAGCATTTTCCACAACGTTCGAATTTTTGGCTGATCATCCCAATGTTCAATTAGAATTGCCTGATGTTGTCATCAATTGTGACTTGGCTTTCAAACGGGTCAAGTTTTTAGAACGTTTTCTTGTTTCTAAAAGCACTGATAAAAAAGAGGTGGAAATTTATCACCTTGGCTTATCAAACTCCCCGTTTGTTCACACATTGCGAGAAATTTTTGAATAGCTGAAACATTTAAAAATCAAACTAAACTTTCATTGTAACAATTTCGAATCGAAATAAAATATTTAGTATACACTGTTCATTAATTATCCGTTTGAATTGAATGAATATCTGATAACCACAGTTTGCGCCTATTGGGTTCTCAATTTTTTTTTTCGTAGATCATACAACTGTCTCTTGTGCATGCGTGATTATCTAACTACCGAACGAACCACTACTTTATTCACGTTTCTGGAACAGAACCAGAACCGAAAAATCATTGCGAGCAGAAGCGTTGACAATGTTTTTTTTGTCGTCGTTGTCAATTTTTACAATTTATCGGTGAAATTCTGTTTTTTTAACAAACAGAACAAAAAAAAAATAAATTACTTATCCAAATGTAGTTATTATTTTTGTCTTGGTGGCATTTTCACTCAATTGATATTCCTATTAATTAATCTGAATCAATAATCGATAAAACATATTTTGTCAATATTTTTTTTTTTTTTTGACATACGTCCAAAAAACCCGGTTTAATCAACACAATGAGTTTTTTATACAAAGCTCGTCTTCAAGTGAACGATATGTTTTCCCAATTTAATCGTTTCATAGCACCAATGTATTATCATGATCGATGCGAAAGGTAAATTATAACCACTATAGTGTAGTCATTTAATTTGCAGACTTTCTAATTCTATACATACAAATTATTAATTTACAGAACGTTACAAATGTACGTCTATGTGATGCATAAACGTGAAGTATTGTTATCATTATCCGCCCTATTATCGGCTTATATTCTTCTTCTTTTCATTGGATTGGCCGGTCCAAATGTCGATAAAATAAACTCGGTTATGGCCAAAGAAATGATAAGCGAATCAAATATTCAAGAAAATTATACAGCCCAATTGTTATCATACGGTCCATTTGTGGTGATCACACCAGCCTTATCAACTTATTCACAGCAATTATCGCTCCATCTAACGTTTTCATTGAAAAATGAAGAATCATCTGAAGCATTTCATAAAGAATTTGATATTCTGATCGATTTGGATGGCATCAGTTCCAATAACAATAAAACACTACTTTGTAAGATGATTTTTCTTTGAGCAAACGATTTTATTTTGACACTAATTTGTTTTTTTTTAGCACGTGGTCGTTTAAAATCATCATTGTATTGTGGTGGTCGAAAATGTGAACCGATTAGAGTGATTCGATTGATCGAGATACAATTCCAACATTATAGAATAAACCTGACATTTAATCGGCTACAATCAGTCAACGAAAAATACACTATTGATGATATTCTATTTGAATTTCGTTCTGTGAATATTTCTTTCACAAAATTGTCGATCTGGTTTCGATTCTTCTTCCTGATGGTAACATTCATGGTTATGTGCTTCTATATGCATCATTTATATCGTTTTTCAATCATCGATTGGTCGCTTGAACAAAAATGGACCGCTGCTCAGTTATTGTTATTGATTCTGTCCAACAATCCATTTTATCCGATACAATTCTTGTTGGGTTCTGAATTTCCTTATTTATTAGAAGTTTGGCTACATACTTCACTACAAACACTGATCATGTTTTTCTGGCTCTGTTTCTTCCATGGTATTCGACAAAATAATCGATCCTTATCTCGATTCTATGGCGGCAAATTGGTTATTATCGGCACCATATGGTTCACTGTCATCTATACAATGTCCTGGTCATTACGTAATCAAATATCGAACCCAATATTAGATGAACTTTACGTTTTTAATCATTCAATATTTTTACAAGTAAGTTCATTTGAATAAATATATTCCAAATTAAACTAATTCCTAATGAATGATTTTGTACACAGCTGTTAAGCGTCTTTTTTCATATTGCATTCGTTCTATATTTTTTGTATCTAATCATACTGGTAATGGCTGCATTCTCCGAATTACGATTGATGCCATATTTTGATGTACGACTAAAATTGCAAACATTTTTAATGCTTTTTGTAATCACTATTTCAATGTTAACAATATTAATATCGACTACATCGAATCCATCAACAACAAATATGATTAGTTCTATACCGTTTCTTCGACTATTACCATTTACACATTTTTCATCATCATCAGCTACATTTTTATCAATATTCTCATTGGTCAACATTTATATTTGTTCTTGTGCATATTATTATAGGCCTTCATTGAATCAATCAAATGGTAAGAAATTGTTTATTGAATGAATGATGTATGCGCTAATATTTTTTTTTTGTATTGTTTGAAACAGAATGTCACATTGTCCGTGATAATCCAACATTGTCAATGATAAACGATTCAGATGAAGAAGTACTTTATGGCAGTGATACTGAAGAATTATTAAGCATTCAAGCTAATAATCATCAACATAATGATCATTCAAATTGTAACAATTTAAATAATATTGTTCCCAATCTGATAGATACTAGAACGGATGAAGAAAGTGATTGAACAAATAAATCAGTTCAAAACAAACGACAAATCGTATACCGGTGATCATGAATTCTACTTCTGATACATTGATGATCTTTTTTTTATTTATTTGAATAGATGATTTGTACATGTTTTTTTGTTAAACACATTGGTACAAATCATTTGATTGATCTTGAATCAATATTTCGAAATTTTTTTTTTTTAAATAAAATTCAAAAATTATTGTTACAACAATCAAGACACCAATTCTTATTATCGATTATTGTCATTTTTTTTCTTTTTTTTTTTTTTAATTGGTAAAGCAAGTAATTTCATATATATAGATTATATAATTTATATATAAAAAAAGAGGAAATTTTTTTTTTAATCTTATAAAATCGGTGGTTCAATATTTTGATGGTTTGTTTGGGAAAAATTTTTTATGTATGTATGTATGGGTGTGTGGGTGTGTGTGTGGGAGATTTATTTAGCTAGCCGATTTCTTTTATTTGGATTTTATTGTCGTCGTCGTCGTTGTTGTCGTGTGATGATGATGAATGTCATAAATATTTTTTTCTCACTGTATTTTGTATAATAATTATTTTGAAAATTGTATTTCATGTAAATTTTAACACATTCAATTCATTTATGGTCTTCTATTCGAATAGGAAAACAAACTTGAAGAAAAAAAAATGTTGTCGGTGTATGTATGGTATGTATGTATGAATAAAATCAAAGAGCAACAACAACAACAACAACAACAAAAATGATTGAATCATTTAGATCCATTAAATTGTATATATGGATTTTTTTCTTTTCCATTTTGAAATGATGGTTGAAAATTTACTTTGTGATTGATGATGATGAATGGACCGCAATTTTTTTCTCTATTTTTTTTTGTTTCACATCAAAAGAATATAATTACAAAAAAAAAATCTTTTGACATTGTCTGGGCGGACAATCTGGTAATTGGGTATGTTGGTGTTATATGGGTGGCGATGTTGGTGGTGATGATGATGATGATGATGATGGTGGTGAAAAAAGTATTCAGACGACAAAAATACATAGCCAACCAACGAAAAAAAAATGATGATGATTATGTTGATGATAATCAAACATGACATTTTATCGAGAGAGAGAGAGAAAAAAAATCAGAATTTCTGTTGTTTACAACAATTTGTTTGTCAATTGGTTTTTCTCTTTCTAATAACAATATGTAGTGGTTACAATTTCTAATTTTTGTTTTCACAAATAAAAATTCTTTTTCATCCACACACACACTAAACCATTTTATCAACAACATTTTAGATAATAATAATAATGATGAATTCTATGACCAAAAAGAAAACAAACAAACAAACAATAATAACAAGAAACAAACTTGGTTGATAACTTTTTCTTCTTTTCATTTTGATGATATATGATGGTGTATGTAACATATTTTTGGCATAAAATTTAGAGCAACCTATTCAACAGATCAATAAATTTAATAATTTTTTTTTTTTTTTTTTTTTTTTTTTGTTCGTATGATAACTATGTTGATTTGTTGTTTTTGTCATTGCACTGTGTATTTGCATGCAGGTGTGTGTGTGTGTGTGTTATGTGTGTGTTTTGGGTCACTTTCCTGTCAATGTGTTGTATATATTTGATTGAGATTAATAAACAACTTTTGTATATATAAAAAAAAATTACATACAAAAAAAAAAGAAAAAGAAAATCAAAAAATCAAATTAGTTTGTGTCTGTATGTGTATGTTTGGTGTATATATACCGACGGCGAAGAAATATATTATGATTTGTTCACATCATTATAATTGGTAAGATGTGTTGCAAATCAATGATAATAATGATGATGATGATGGTCCATGAGTTTTTAATTTGTTCATAAAGTTTGATTGCTATATCAGAGTATATATAGAATAATATATATAAACAGCGATTGATTTGATAAGAATTTCTTTTCCTCATTTTTTTCTTACAGTAGAATCAAATAGAATCGAATCGAGAACAAAAAAAACTATCCAAAGATTCCGATTTTTTCAAAATGTAAATAAATGTGAATGGGGCTTGTAAATGTGTTTGATTCATCATGGTAATGTATGTATGGTGAAAAAAAAATATCTCATTTCTTATTGACTATTCTGGACGTTAGATATTCGTTTTTATTCCACTACCACTCAATCCAATTCAAATGAATGAATACGAAAAAAAAAAAAAATATAACGAAAACTTTGCTGTTATCTTTGTGTTCCAAAGAATTTTTCATTTCCTCGTACGTGTGTGTGTGTTCGTATTTTTTTCAAAATTTCATTTAGTTTCAAATTTTTTTTTTATTTGTTCCTCAAAATCTAATTGATTTCGATCGGTTGAATTGGAAAAAAATCCTAATTTGTGTGTGTGTGTGTGGGCGATAAAACAAGAACAACATCATTAACAATAACTTAAATAAGAAACGGAAATGAATAAAAGTAAAATTAACAACAACAGAAGATGAAAAAAAATGATGAGAAACATAAATGTATCACATTACGTTACTATTTCTTTTTTTTGTATAATAGAAAAAGCAGAATTAGACTAGATACTGTTGTTGGTTTTGATTGGCTTTTTGGAACGGTTGACCAAATAAAAAGAATAATTTGTTTTCGTTGTTGTTTTTTTTTTTTTTTTTTTTGGTGGGCAGATTTTTTTTTCTATATTACAAGTGATCTATTATGGAGTGTGTATGTGTGTGTGTAGTATTGGAATATTCGTGCTTATTGTAATACTGTATTTTATATATATTATAAAGAATCATGATAATAATGATTAATTTGCAGGTATTAAATCTTCAATCATTTGGCTTGAGATGTGTAAATAAATGACCCAATACATTAAATTGAAACAGACAAAACAAACAGGAAACACTACTCTTGAGTATTTATCAATATCACTTGGGCTAACACCAAATAATTTATTTGGATTTTTTGGCCCAAAATGTTGTCCACCGGTTTGTTGTTGACCACTCATACTTGCATTATCACCTTCTGGACCCATTGTTGATTCATTTGTATGTTGATGTCGTTTATGTAAGTTAATTGGCGATGATGAGCTTGTTTGGCTACAATGTGGACCTAATAATCCAGTTGAGGCGGCAGGAATTGGAGGCGGTGGTGGCACCATTGCTGTACATGGTGCCGATATTGTTAAACTTGGCGTTCCATTGATTGGACTATCGGGAGGAAGATGAGCAGAATATGATGATTTGGCTGAAAAACTTTTTCTTGCGGCACATTCTGGTCCAGATAAAATGGGTGTCGCTCGATTTAAACGAATATCTTGGCGTCCATATGCCTTTAAAATAAATTAGCATTTTAAAAAAAGAATTTATAACAAAATGAACAACATACTTGTGGACATGACGGTGGACAATTCATGGATGGATGATGTACAATACGAGGCGTACCAATCGTTGCATAACGATCTAATCTATCTAATGTTTGATGTATCTGTAACAAAAAAAAAAAATGGTGAATAAAATCATCAGTTAATAAAGATATCGATTCATATTATAAATCTACATTGTTGAATATTGCATTTTATGTTGCTATAAATAATGGAAAAACTAACAAACAAACAAACAAACAAAAAAAGAAATTCAAAATAGAGAAATGAAATAAAATTTCTCTGTTTTCCCAAAATCATCAACATTTGTAACAAGTAAAAAAATATGAATGATCACCATTTTTTTTAGTTTGCATTTTGTCGTTTGTCTTTCACTCTAATTCTCTGTTTTGTTTTGTTTTTTTTTTTTTTTTTTTTTGATTATTCTACATTTCACTAGTACACTGTACTGAATATCATCGTAAATTGAATTTGCATTCATTTAATTTAAAAGAAAATAAAAAGGATAAAGAAAAATATATAACAAAACTGAAAGATAGTTGATTTGTTTACTACTTATAGTCATAGTCATATATATTACATAATACAACACACATTTTATTCATTCATTCAACATTTGAATGTAACAAACAAACAACACACACACACATCAGATTCTAAAGTAACAAAATGTATCGTTGTCATAATGCTTTTAAAGTTTTTTTTTTTTATATGTATTTTTTTCAACATTTAATCGAACGAATCTCTTGTTTTGTTTTCCAACATTAAAAGTATGGTCTATTTGGGTGTGGATTGAGACATATACCCAAAGAACCATAGAATGTATTTGGTGTTGTCGTTGTTGTTGTTGTTGTTGTTGACTAATGTAATATCACAGCAATACTTTTGAATAATTGCATTTCCATTTTTGTTTTTATTTTTCTTCATATTTAAGAGGCTATATATATGTTATTATTACCCCATCGAAAGAGATGTGAATATACATTATTATCAAATACAAAACTTGCTTGGAAGCTCTGTATGTGAAAGGTTTATGACGATAGTGGTGATGATGGTATGGTATTCAAAAAGTAGAAAAAGAAGTAAAAAAATTCAAAACCCCAACACGATTTGTTGTTGTTGTTGTTTGAAAAAAAAGAATAAAATTAAAATTTCCTAATTTTCATAAGATGGTGGGCACAAAAAAACTGAAAAAAAATCCACAGAGAATATTCTGTGTGTGTGTATGTGTGCTTGTAATAGTGGTTATTTCTAATTAATGCTGCTGTTTTTTTTTTTCGTTTTGTTTATCTTATTTAATGCTTGAATAATAATAATAATAATAACGATGATGATAATGATGAAAAAAGTGTAAATGTATGGATTATGCCTAAATTCTGATTGTCAATGATTATGATGATGATGATGATGATGATGGTAGCCAACCACATATGTGAATTTTCGATTTTTTTAACCAACAACAACAAATTATTATTATAATCAAATATATACATGAATCACCAAAAACAAAACAACAACGAAAACAAAAATTCAAAACAGATTCATGCACGAATGCTTTACGTAATTAATCTTCAAATAATAATAATAATCTACATACGATTAGCTTGAAGCAAATAATTTTTTTTGTTCTTTGTCTCACTATTTTTTTTTTCATTGAATTTTTTTTTTTTTTTTATCAATATCAATGGATAGCTGTGTGGCCGAATAGATTAGTCTCGATTGGTTTTGTTTTGTTTTGTTTTTGTTGTTGTTGTGTTTGATCATCATCTTTCGTAATATAACAATTAATTATTCAAATTAGCTTCATAAAGTTGTGGAATAATTTTTTATTATTATTTATTCTTTATTATTCCATTTTGTAGACACACACACACACACACACACACAAACACATTCAACCATCATCATAGCATATGGCACATTTTATTTATACAGCGATGAATTCATTTATTTGTATATATACAAACAAACAATAAATGCTATGAAAATAAAGAAAAAGATTTTTCTTTTCACCATTTTCATTTCGGTTGGTTTGACATATCTAAATTCAAACACACACACACACACACAGAGAGAGAGAGAGAGAAAAGAATTTGATACCTGGAATTTTTGTTTTGTTTTGTTTAGCACTCAACCTCATCAATTTTGTCTACACACGCACACACACACACATACACATTTTATCGATATATATTCAATTTCCAATATCAAAAAATGGTGTTATTTTTATCCCTTTTAAAATTTTGTTTTGTTTTTTTTTCTCGATTCTTTTGAAATTGTCAAAGTATATAACGATCAATGAGAATCTTTTTTTTCAAAGAATGGAATTTTTTTTTGTTCATTCATTCCTTTTGTTTCGAATGAAATGAAAGAAATGGGGAAAAAAAACAAAATTCTTTTTTTTTCTGTGTCATCATCCGGTACTATTGTATGTTGATGTGTATGTTGTCGAGAGACAAACAAAAACTAGGTACTTGTGTGTGAGTTGAATTCTTGAAATTGAGTAGGAAACAAAAACAACAACAACAACAAAAGAGAAAACGAATCAGATTCATTTTGATCCATTTTTTTTTATTTTGCAACCATAAGTGGCATTGTTATTGTTGTTCGTTCGATGGTATATTGTCATAAATTGACATTTCGATCGCGATTCTTTCATTTCTGTTTTTTTTCTATTTTGTTCATTTTTCTCAAATGTATGTATCTGTAATGGAAATTCTTATGCATAATATAAATTCACTGAAACTACTTTTTTTTTTCTATTTGTTTGTTTGTTTATAAAAAACAGAATATTTATAAAATAGTAATCAAAAATAAAATGTACCTATACCGAAAATGGCAATGAAGATAGGAACAAAAAAAAATAGATAGCAAGCGATCATTTTGGTAAAATGTATAATGTACATTTGGGTTTTGTGTAAAGAATCGAATTATTCGATACTCATGATGATGATGATGATGATGATGGTTGCAACTTGCCAAATAAAAGTCAACTTTTAAGAATTAAATGAAAAAAAAATTCAAATAAACTTTTAATCGATTCCCTTTCTACTATTTATTATCATTGTGTGTGTGTGTGTGTGTGTGTGCGAGTTAGCGAATATGTCAACACATCTAATTCCATTTACATAAAAAAGTTTATTTGATTTTTTTTTTTGAATCATTAATTCAAACAACATTCGTAAAAAGCTGTTTGTTTACACATGATATGAAAAGAAATCACATACTATGAATGTTTATATATGTCCATTATGGAATAGAAAGGTTGAAAGATTTTTTTTTTTTTTTGGAAATAAAAAATAAGATTGGTTAACTTTAATAAACCAATGATCACTCTATATTATATATATATGATTTAATATGGTTAGGTTTTTCTATGAAATTCTTTTTCACCACTCCAAAATCGTCCATAATATTGTTTCAAAAAAAAATGTATACGCGTAAAAAGTAAGCGGAAAAAAATATATAATATATGTATGAGACAAGGAATAGAATGTGAGAGAGAGAGAGAAAAAAAAAGATGTAAAACCGATGATAAACCGATGATAAATGAACCAAACAATGGTAGTATACAAGTTTCACTCCCTCACTCTCTTTTTCTCTCAACATCATCTTACAGAAATACAAATGAATTCTAGTTGTAATACCAGTACATAATATTCTACTATTATTACCATTGTCTATTCTATTTTATTATTCTTTTTATTCTCATTCAAACGAGAAGAGAATAAAATAGAATAAAAAAAGTATGTATGTGATATATATATAGTGGAATGAATCAAATCTTGCAAGTAATCTTTTTGATTGTTGATGTTGTCGGTAGTGTGATAGTCATGTTGATGATGATGATGATGCCATTTTTCTCTAGTGATCATGGAATTGTGAGTAAAACTAAAACTGGAACATAATTCGCGTGTATTTGAATTTTTTTTTTTTTTTTTTGCTGGAAAAGAATTTTTAGGCACATTATATATTGAAAATATTTTTCCATGTAAGTCTGTATATGTAAATTTTTGTGAAAATTTTCCGTGTTTTGTATTTGGATGGATTCAAAAACAAACAAAACACACACACACACATATACAGTATATTGGCATTTTGAAATTTAGAAAATTGTTTAGCATTTCACAATGATATTTTTTGGTTCAAAATAGACAAGCAATTTAGGTCTCCAATGGTTTAATGATAATCATTAATGTTTGTGATTCAATCAAATTGATGTGCATGATTAAATTTTGGAAATTTAAAAAATAAAAATGGAAACCACTATGTATAAAATCAGCATAAATTGAAATTAGTGCTAATGAAAATTGATATTTAAATAATAAGAAAACCATTTGATGAGTGGGGGAGGGGGAGGGGATAGGAGGCAAAAACTAGAAACCAGAAACCGAAACTGAATTGCGAAATAGAGCCACCATTGATTCTATAATACTGACTGGTAGATTTTTATTAATATACAATTTTTTTTTTGAATGTGACAGGTCGAGTGCATCAGCGATTCTATTCAAAATATAAATAGAATAGAATCGTATATATCCGAAACAAAATATCGAAAAGCTAAAAAGATTACTAAAGTGAAAATAGAAAAAGAATAGTAATGGTGAAGAAAAGGAAAGGAAATTTTTTTTTTTTTTACTAGGCCGAGGTCGTTGTGCCTAAAAATAGCATCCAAATGGTGATAAACGAACAAAAGTATTTCTATTTTCTATCAAAAAAAAAAAAATTCTTCGACATTCAACTAACCAACCAATATCGACGATGATAATAATAACAACAGCAACCTTATTCCACGGTCAAATTCTGCTACTGTCTTTACATATAAACAGACACACACACAGACAACCGAATATAAACGATTCTATCATTTGACAATACCGCTAGAATAGGGTATTATTGCAATGAAAGAGAAAAAAATTGGTCCAAATGGAACGGCATATAAAAATGTATAAAATCAGTATGATGACGTTTGTATAACACACATAGTTCTGTAATATGTGCATTTATATACTGTAGTTTATGGACATTATATAGATCATCATCATCATCATCATCATCATCATCATTGAACAAAAAATTCCCTGAACACGCTGCTGCTAATTTACTTATTGAAAATGAAAAAAAAAAAAATATATAAAGAGGTAGTAGTCGGATATAGTCGGTTATTATCATCATCATTTATTATTATTGGTCATACGATAACAATAATGAAACCATTTTTATTTCTCTATCCTTTCTATTCAGTCTCATTTTACTTTCTTTTTGTATTTTCATATATATTTTGACTAACTAATTTCCAAAAAAAAAGAATAGTTTTTTTTCATTCCTACTTCTATAAATAGATATCATCAATCAATAATTAGCAATAATATTGATGATGATAAATTAACAGCAAAAACGACGACGACGACAAAGATTATCCATCATCATTTTCATTCAATTCATAATTCAATCAATTCCATGAGAATTTCTTCTTTTTTTTCGTTCTCATTTTAATCACTTTGGAACAGTATAATCAGTATATAGTATGAATAGAAAGAGAGACAAAAAAACCATTGAAGAACAATTAAAACTGTCTTTTTTGATTTTTCTTTGATTATTATATGATTATTATTATGAAAAAGAAACCGGTAAATGTAAATTTTTTTTTGTTCAGACAAGCAAAAAAAAATATGATCCGATTCTTGATGTTATTCATGCTCGTTTTTTTTTTTTTTCTTGTGTGATACGCAACATTAAGATATAATAACGATGCCAATACACATAAATCGCATTGTTGAGCATGAGCTTCTTGTTTTTTATATTCATATCATCATCATCATCATTTGTTTTAGTTGTTGTATGAAAAATTTTTCATTTTTTTTCCCCAGTTATTTAAAGCTTTCTTATCTTTCTTTCTTATGCAGATTATATCGAAAAGTTTGACATTAGAGAAGAAAACAAAAAGAAATTTGAGATGATAATTCTTTTTATGGTCATTTACATACAGAATACATTGAAAACGACCAACAACAACAACAACAACAACAATAAGATATGAGAAATATTTTATTCTCTCTTTCTCTCTCTAGATTGTAGTTTTTTTTACATCATAATCATCATAAGGTGTTATAAGAATAAATCAAATATAATTCACATGCATGACTGTTTTCCATATATTTTATGATAAATTGTGATTTATATTTCATGGAAAAATTGAAAAAAAATTCATATGAAACAAGACAAGACAACATAAGCGCTTCAACAGATAATAATTGCATTAATGTCTCGATTAGATAATATGCGTATGTGTGCCATAGATTCATAAGTGAAAAAAGTAAAATGTAAATGTAGATTGAATACATATATTTAGATAAATTCATCTGGGAACAACAACAACAACAACAACAACAACAACGGCAAAACAAAAACACGTGAACCTGATTCGTAAAAAAAATTCGAAAGGCTATAATTTTCTCGTTGATCTCATCATTATTACCATACTATTATATCATTATATACAGTACAGAAATCGAATAACACACACACACACACACACATACAAACGAGTGAACGAAACAGTATAATTATCACATGGAAAATAGAAATATGCATAGGATTCGCAAACAAGACAAAAAAAAAAGAGCTAAATCAAAACCAGTAACAGACCTAACAGTAAAAAAAACAGACAAAATTGATCAAAGTCAAAGCAAGAAAAAAAAAAAAAAATAAAATGAAATCATTGCCAAAAAAAAAAAAAAAAAAAGATTGTAATCAAATGATGAAAGATTGTATGGCTATAATTATTAATTGTAAATATATAAAAAATGATGATGATAATGATATCAAATAAACCAAAAAAATGATTCAATATAAATGATAAATGCCAAAACAAACAATAGGAAAAAAATATATTCTGATCATCATCATCATGGATTTATTTATCATTACAATGACATTATGATGAAATAAATAATGTCCATGTCACCACAAACAGATTGGTCATCATTGATCATCGATTATATATATCATTCACATTCATTAATATTATCATTTGATTTTAGTTTGATCGGTCATTTTTTTCTGTTTGTTTTGTTTCATTGTAATACAATTTATACAATTTTCATTATCACCATCTCATCTTATCATCTTGATAGAATTTGTTCACCATTCACGTCCGTTATTTCTAATACAATATTCATTTTTCTTCAGAATAGATTATTTCTTATTTTTTATGGCAAATTTAGCTGAAAAAAAATGATTTTTTAAAATAAGATTGGTGTCACACATTGTCTTTCAAATGCTTGATATTAACTTTTTTTTCGTAAAAGTTTTTTCCGTTCACTACTTTTGGTAACATACCCTAGCATACATTTGAAAGTTTAAGGGAAAAAAATTTAAAATTGATTGTTTCATTTTCAATATCATATTCTTGAAACTCATGGAACAAATTAGAACTAAAATTGAAACAGTTAGCTATAAAGAGGAAAAAATTGAATTTACTTTTTTTTTGACAACTAGACTAACTCAATAGATACAATTTATGATGGATGAAAACAAATTAATCAACTATTGATCATGTTTGGTCGAGTCAAAACTGAATTATGTAATGATTAAAATCATAATGGACTTGTTTTGTTTCATTAGAATATTTCCACTTACCGGTATTGGCTTCACTGATCGATGTAATGTTGAATTTAGATCAGGTTGACATAACATTCCGTGTCCTGTTTGCATAGGCATTGGTGGTGGTATGGTTAGTTCGTTTGGTTCATTGCCATCATCATCTATGTGGCTTTGGCCGGATACATTCATTTGATTAGACATGACACTGGCACCAGGACCAGACATATTGAGATTTATGCTACCGCTTCGTGTATTAGTACCAGTAGCAGCTGCCGCAGCAGCAGCTGCTGCTGCTGCACATCTATTACGGTGTTCTTGAGCAAGTTTAGCTAATTGTTGTGAACGAGTTTTACGCATTGCAATACGTTTACCAAGGTAACCAACAGTGGCGTATTCTAGTAATGAGGCAAAAACCATTACGAAACAAGTACCAAGGAAGACATCGATCGACTTAATATAGGAGATTTTAGGCAGTGCTGCATTTGTCGAGGACATCAGAGTTGTCATAGTGAGCACAGTGGTAACACCCAATGCTACTCTTGCTGGTGTTGCATTACGATGTAACCAAAATGAAACCCAAGATATAATTACAATCAACGAGGCCGGAATGTATATTTGAATGAGGTAGTAACCCATTGATCGTTCGAATTGAATTTCACAAACTAAACGAGAATAGTTTCCTGTTGATTGAGTGAAAAAAAATAATATTGTAAAATTCGAAAATTAAAAAAAAATCAATTCATACCTGTGCTCAATGTTTCAATTTTCATTGATTGTCTATAGCCGACTACTTTGAATTGAGGTAATTCTAATCCTTTCGACATACCGATCGATTCTTTTCCTTTTGACCATATATAAACAATATCAGCCATCGAATAGCCATCTGTATAAAAAAAATAACAAAAATAAATAAATACAGATTTTATACATACATAATATATATAAATGTGGATAATTTATTTTCCATTTCAAAAATGATGATCATGATCATCATCATCATCATCTTCATAAATGAGATAACATTTTTTTTTATATGTTTAATAGTACTTAGACATTTTTCTTGATCATCATCATCATCATCATAATCGAATAGATTGGAATCTCGAAAAAAAATGCCGTAAAATTTTCATTGAAATATCAATAATTTATCAGCATTGCTTGTGTGTGTCTGTGTATGATGGCCAGGAGAAAAAATATTTGTACCGAAACATTATACCAAATGCTTGCTTGTGTATGTGTATAGATGTGATTTATAGTGAAAAAATTCTTTTTTTCCAGATATAAACAAATCATCATTGATCGTGCCGGGACATGACAGGCAAATGGAAAATGATTTTTTTTTTTTTTTTTTGCTTTTTTGATTTCAGCGTTTAAGGGTCCGTTTCACTATAGTCAATTCGATCCAAAATGATGATGATGATGAAAAACATTGTGAGAAGTTGCTATTCATATATAGATATAATGACGATAATAATAATGAAAATAGAATCATATGTATGATGATGATGATGATGAAATATTTAAAATCAACAAAAAAAAAAAAGAAGAAGAAAAAAAAACATTATGTATCGTCGAAACAAAACAAAAAAAAATCAAAAACCATTAGACAATGAAAAAAAAATCACGATAAGATAATATTATTATTTTGACTTTATTAAATTTTAATTTTTGATCTTCTTATTGACAACATTATGAAAACCTTGAATGAATAAAATGAATGAATCAAAAATGCGAAATCTTCACTACACAAAAAAAATAATAAGGAAATTTATAAGATTTTTTTTTTTTTTTTTTTTTTTTGGTTTATATCAAGTGTATCAACTGGGTGTGTTCAACTTTTTGCAACGATTTGTTTTTTACTTGTTTGTTTGTCGAACGGAATTTATTCATTCAATTATGGTTATTATTATATTGCCAGTGTGTGTGTGTGTGTTCTAGAAGAAAAAAAAGTAATTTTCCAATGTATGGATAATTTGATCGTAGAATTCCTAAGATAATAAATGGAATTTTTAATGCTTTCTTGTCTGTGTTTGTATGTGTGTGTGATTTGAGTTCAATGTGCACACACACACACACACACACACAGACAAAGTTTATTTGCAAGAAAAAAAAATTATGAAGCCAATATATCTCTAGTATCTCTCTCTCTCCAACACTATACACTTGTTGTTTTGTTGGACGAAATAAGAATTATACAAAACAAACACATAATGTTTAGTTTGAGTCAATAAAAGTTTTTCGGAAAAAAACCATATATAGAATATATCAGTAAAAAAAAAAAAATATTGAGCATTATAAAAAAACGGAAGAATCATATGACGAGGATATGCAGTTTTTTTTCGATTCAAATTTAATTTTCAATGAAAAAAAAATGCAGACGATAATCCATAACAATTTCTTCTAACAACTGAAACAGGCTAATCGAAAATAAATTCTAAATAAATGTACAAGAAAGAAAGAAAGAAAGAAGGGAAAATTTATAGAGAATAGAATAATCCACTCAGTATTAAATAAAAGGCCATCAATTCTTTTTTTTCTTTACACTCTTTTCAAACAAATTACCAAATCAATATGCAATGAATAGCAGCTGGTTATTTTTTTTCAATATATATTGCGCAATGAAAAAATTTATGGCGTATCGTTTTGTTTCGTTTTATCATGGGTGTCAGACGAACGTGTGGTGGTAGTTGTTTTATAAAGAGAAAAAAGTATGAATTAGTTAAAAAAAAGCAAAATCGGAATAACTGTAACATGAATCTTGCAACAACAACAACAACAAAAAATAGGAAAAAATGATGATAAAGTTAACCATTTAAGAATCGTAGTATCCAATGAATTGAGAATAAAAAGGAAAAATTCATCATCAAACAAGTTTGCCATTTGTTCAAGTGTGCAGGGGTGGTGGTGGTGGTGATTTTTCCACACCCGTTTCCTCCGTTTTTATTCATACTCAAATTTTGAATATTAACAAAAAAAAATTCAAATCGATTCTTCATTTCTTAATTTAATATTAATGTTATGAATAATTTTTCTTATGAAAAAAAAAATTCAACAGAAATTGAGATGAATATATGCAAAAAAAAAATATTTTATAAAAAAATGGCAACTATTGTCATGGTGAATATTATTAAGGAAATAGAAGAAAAAAAAACGAAACATCACCGTCATCATCACCAAATAAATTCGGAAGGGTTATTTTTAAATGGAATTTGTCATATATACAACAACAAATTGTCAGGAAAAATTCTTTTTTTTCCCAGTGAAAACTAAAAAAGAAAATGTCAAAATTGGCTTGTTTATTTAGAGTACATTTTCGAAACTACCAAATTTTTTTTTCTTTTACAGATTTCATCATTGTTTCATATGATCTATACATCTATTTTTTTCCAGTATTCAATTGCTCAATAGTTCAATTATTGTATTGATCAACTCTTGAAAAAAAAAAAAACAACAAGCTCTCATAAGATCATCAGATCAAATTAAATCAAGTGTTTTATCATCAAGTAATGGTGTCAAGATATTGTTGTTTTTTTTTTTTTTTTGTTGGCTAAAGAATTAATGCACACTTGAACATATATGATGTTTTTAGGCGTAATTTTGAAAATAATTTTACAATGTCAATAGGAATGAGATATAATGTTTATATTTATCTGATGACCAACTTAGTTTGTCAACAGTAACAACAACAACAACGACAACGACAACGACAACGAAACATGAAAATAAAAATGGATGAAAAAGTTTGTTTTTTTTGTGATTTAATTTTTCTGTTTATAAAGTTTTTATTAAATGTCAATTTTTTGCTTTTCAAAAAAAAATTGCAAGTGGGTGTTGGTGTTGGCCAATGGTCAGATAACAGAAATTATAATTTCATTTTGAAAAGTTCAAGTCCCTTGGAGGGGCTGCCAGTGAGAGAGAGAGAGAAATGACAATCCATTTGATTCGATTATTTTTCCTTTTATTTATTTTTCATTTTCACACATACAAGCACGTATACATCATGATTTTTTTTTTTCTTCAACTATGGTCTACTACTTTTATTCTTTTCACACACACACACACACACACAAACCCATTCAAAAATAAAAATAGCGATCGTTTCAGTTTTCACATTTCATTTCTGCGAAAAGCGAAACAAAAAAAAATTGACCAAACAAAAAATTTCACAGAGGGCATAAATAATGAAAAAAAAATTGAATGGCCAATTTTGAGAATAAAAAGAGAGAGAGAGAGAGAGAGAAAAAAAAAAAAAGAAAAATTTTAACATTTTCATCTGTGATATATGTGAAAAAAATGGCAAAGAATTTTCAATGAGCAAAATAATGTTGTTATCATCATGTGATCATACTGAGAATCGTGATTGAAAAAATAAAAATGAATGTAATTGAAACTGTGATATATGTGAAAAAATGGCAAAGAATTTTCAATGAGCAAAATAATGTTGTTTGATGAAACTTGATCACACACACACACACACACACACACACAATTCTTTGTTATATTTGTGTGTGTGTGTGTGTCTGTATGAAGTCATTGTATTGTATATTTGAAAAATGAAAAATTTTTCAAAATAACGCTTGTTTTTTCCTTCTTATTTTTACAAAAAGAATCATATATATTCTTATGACCTTTTAGAATTCAATTATATATTAGTTTTATATTCGAAAAAAAAGTGAAAAGCAAAAAGAATCAAAAAAAAAAATTCATTAAAAAAATAAAGCACAGAATTGATGCAAACAAAAAAAATTTAGTTTGAATTTTTTTTTTGTTTTTTATCATCATTTGTTCAGTGCCATTAATTTCTACTATTCAGAATTCATCTGATTAGATTGGTAAGAAAAAAAAATTAGATAAATTGATTGAACCACCAGTTTTTTTTTGTCCATCATTAAAACGTATATACTTACAGCTTTCAATTTCAATTGTACATAGTTGACTATCCATTGGAAAATATTGTAGATTCATTGGACAGCTAGCCGTCACAGTTAATCTATATAATCAGAATTAAAAACAAAACAAAAAAGAGAGAAAAACAAAATCAAATCAGATTTTATTAGAAATCAATAAAGTGATACATAATTTTGTTTTTTTTTTTTTGTTGTTGATTCAATTAGTTTGATATTTGTGTGTGTTTGTGTGTGTGTATTATTGCACTTTCAATATTTTTTCCGTTCACACATCATTCGTTGCAATGACATTTCACATTCATTTCGTTCATTCATTAATAGGATGTGAATACAAACAAAATATATTTATATTGATTGGAATCAATATCAAAGACGTTCTCATTTGTCGTTATTATTTCGATTACGAATTGAGTGGAACTTACACATACAAACAGAGAGAAAGAATCGGTATAGAATTCAATTATAATGGTCTTGATAGGACACATAAGAATGGGGAATATTATTTTTTTTTTCATATATTTATTTATTTGACTTAACGTTTCATTTACATTCACTATATATTTATTGTCAGCATAACATCACACACACAGGCACATATGATCCGTATTTGATATATCCTATTACGAACAAATACCAATTCATTTCGTTTGTTCTTGTTGTTGTTGTTGTTGTTGTTTGTCGCCTTCCGTTTCAATTTCATTGAACACACACACACATACACACAGGGGCAGAACGATATTTCACAGATTCGTTAGTGTAAAAAAAATTGTGTTTGAGTGAACAAAAAAAAAATGAGAAATGAAGTGATATTATTATTGTTGCTGGTTGAAATTGGCACTATTGAAGGGGGTATCCCACATATATATAAGCAATGTGGCTACAACTATTAATTTCTCGCTCTATGTGTATGTGTGTGTGTGTGTTTTTGTTCCATTAAACCTTCATTTTCAATGATCAATCTTGTCGTCATAGTTGTTGTTGTTGTTGTTGTTGAAAAATTTCATAATAAAAAGCCATGTTACGATATATATTTATTGTCAGCATAACATCACACACACAGGCACATATTCCGGAATTGTTGTTGTTGTTGTTGTTTGTCGCCTTCCGTTTCAATTTCATTGAACACACACACACACACACACAGGGCAGAACGATATTTCACAGATTCGTTAGTGTAAAAAATTGTGTTTTTGAAGTGATATTATTATTGTTGGGTGGAATTGCTCATTTTCGCTCTGTGTGTGTGTGTTTTGTTCCATTAAACCTTCTGATCTCTGTTGTTTTTGGGGGGGTGTTTGCTCATTTTCTCTCTCTCTCTCTCTTTCTGGATTGTGTGTTTTGTTTTTTTTCTCTCTTCGTTATATGAAATACCCTAGAATAAATTCTATTCACATTCATTATCATTATACATTCATTCATACTAGTTATAATCAATGTTTGCATTGATCTTATAATGTTAATCCTGATGTATTATTATACAAACAAACAAACAAACAAACATACATTTGTTTGTAATTCTAATGATCCAAATATTTTATATATGATGATATAGAAAATCAAGTGAGAATCAAAAAAAATATTCTCTATGCAATACAATTGTATATTGGATCACAAGAAAGAAACATACAGAACGGCAAAAGATGACAATAATAATAATAACGGTCAAACGGTCATAGAATATTTTTTCATTGTGTATGTATGTAGAATATTTCGAATCGATCGATATAATGGCGACGATAATGATGATGATGATGATGATGGCGACGATGATGGTGGAGAATATAACAAAAATAATAATAATAATAACAGAATAAACTTGATTCTAAACCAGATTCAAATTGGCATCATTTTTATTTGGAATTTATTCAGCCTTTTTCTTTCTTTTTTTTATCGTTATACTTTTTACTTTATTGGTCAGATCTATATCTAGATTGTCGATATTTGTCCAACGACCATGATAATGAATGTATATGAAAATGAATGAATGAATGGATGGATAGATCACAAAACATATAAAATGACATAGATGGATAGATAGTGTTTGTTGTTGTTGTTGTTGTTGTTTTTTTTATCTCGTTACTTGATTTTTTTTTTTTTTTGTTCTGTATGTGTCAAACGGTCATCTCATCTAATCAAGACAAACATAGGAACAATTTGTAGATGGTAGAGAGAAAAAAAAAGATTCAAGCGCCCTTGTTTAAGATTGTATTGTGTGTGTGTGTGTGTGCTGTTATAAGAATCGGCCTTTTTTTGCATCTATTTTTTTCTGGTAAAATCAAATTCATGTGTACAAGTGAATGAATGAATGAATGAATGATTGAAAAGATGAGATAAGAAAGAATTCATGATTATCATCAACATCAACATCAAATGGAATGAAAAATTCGTTTTTTTTTCGTTTCGGATTAGATTAGATTTTTTTTTCCATTTCATTCCATCATTGAAATTCCGTTGTATCATTCACTTTATTTTTTGTTTTCTTTCGTCAACATCATCTTTTTTTTGTCGAGCTGGAAATGAACTTTTTTTATTTTATTATTATTTTGCCTAGATATTTTTTTTTATTTTATTCGAGCCAATTACCGTCGTCGTCGTCGTCGATGTCGTTGTCACACTATCATAGTGAAACGACCACAACGGCCGGCATTCAAAAGTACCAAATTTTCACCCAAAGAAAGAATATCCAAAAATAAAAAGAGAAAAAGTAATTTTTTTTACTCTTCATCACGGGACGGAAAAAAAACTCGGCTCTCATTCTTCTTTTTTGCACTTATAACACAACTCACACATTCACTTTTTTTATACTTTTATTCTTCATTTCGTTTGTCTCATTTGTTCATTTTTCATTGTCACGTTATATATAACACACACACAATACTTTGTTGAACTGTGACTTTTATATAATGTTGTTGTTGATGATGATGATGATGGTCACAAACAAAACAACAGAAAAAAAATTTTTCTCTTCACATCATTACAATTGCAATTGAATAAAATAATTTCAATTACGACAAATATCACGTAAGACAAAAAAAAGGGTGGTTAAATGTCATTCTAGAATCTAGATTCTGGAGAAGGAAATCTGTTTTTTTCTCAACTCAACTCAACTCAACTCATCATCATCAAATATTACTTGTGAAATTGAAATGAAATTGAAATTCCAACTCTTTATTTTGTTTAATTGCTTCACTATGATAATTAATTTTTTTTTTGTTCTTGTCGTTGACATTATTCATTATACGTAGTTTTTTCCATTCTTCTCTCTGATGATGATGATGATGATGATGACTTAGTTGGAAATTCTATCATCATTTGATTTTTGGTAGTTGTCGTTTGTATGGTACCTACTTTTTTTTCTTGGGAATGAAACTTGATTTTTATTTTATTTTTTCTTTGAAAATTTTACATCCACATTATTAATGTAACATCTGTTTTTTTTTCAATGAAATAAAAGTTTTTTTTTGTCAGTTCCATTTATTTCAATGTGTGTGTGTGTGTGTGTGTATGCGTGATGTGGTACTGTTCAACGATACGATAAAGACATTTTAAATATGTCTAAAAACCGCTTTTGATTTGCCTGTAGGCCAATTTCAACTATTATCTAATTCCATAGAGATAGGAAAATGGTGCAAAAAAAAAAAATTGTCAACTTGAAAGACTTTTTTTTTCTTTTTGTTGAAATTGTGACAGGAGATGAAAATTTCATATATCAATCATATTTCATTCAGTTTGTTCCACACAAATACACACAGTGACAGCCATTTATATTTGTGATGATGATTGCCATGTAAAAAAAAATGAAAGCAACAACAACAACAACAACCATGAAAAAAATGAAATTGAAACGATAAAAGGATTATGATCCCGATTTGAATTGATCATCAATTTCTTTTTTTTTTCTTTTGAAAAAAACCATTTTCAGTGGACAGTTTTGTCATGCTAGTTCCAGATTTTTATTTTCGTCAACTACACACACACACACAAAAACACTACAATAGAACTATCATTCTTTGGAATTTTAAAATGGTTTTATTCTTGGATTATTTATGGTGAGATTTTTTTTTTATTTCCTTCGGGTTGTCCAACAACATCGAAAACAAGCTTTACTTATTTGTCGTTATTATCATTTTAAATTTTTAAAGTTTAAAGCTTAAAATTGACAAATGTTCATGCTCGATTTATTCATTCAATTTAATGATGAGGCATAGCATGGTCAAGGGGTGTGATTTTTCTTTTTCACCACAATAGTATCCTCGGTAATGAGGTAAATTTTTTAAGAATTGAAAATCAAAGTTGACTCCATTTCGATCTTTATGTCGTTTTTCATTTTTTTCATAGTTTTGAATAGAATTTTTTTTTTTTGTTGAATGAAAAGATTTTATCAAATGTGTGTGTGTGTGTGGTTTATTTTTGATTGAAATTATTATCATCATGATCATCAAGAATCTGAATCAAATTTCGAATTTGATGAATATCGAAAATACAATCGATACTTTTTTCGAATGCAAAGTGTGATTTTTTTTTTTTTTTTGTTATAAAAGTGAACAGGAAAAATGATATTCAGCATATTACTCTAAATGGAATTTCGTTGTTTCAATATAGAATTTTCTTGTCTTTTTTTATACTTGATATTTTTTTGAATTTCATTTCTCTTTGTGTGTGTGTGTGTGTATGCGCCTTATGAATTACTTTGAGCACCACATTCATCCATCCGTCCGGTATGAAGAAACAAAAAAAAGAAACAAAAGACAACAGAAAAAAACATATCCAATGAATCTTGTCTTTTGTTCTTATGTTCATTTCATATCTGGTAACTTTCATTTTTTGTCTTTCTCTCTCTGAGATAATATTGTTGTGTAGTATTCACATTGAAGCTCACTACATTGATGATGATGTTGATGTTGATCTTGTATAATGAATCCTTTAAGACTTTTTTCCGCTCAACAATTTGGCCATTTCCCTTTGTACAATTTCTACGTTCACTTATTCATTCATTTATTTCTTTTATATTATATTATTTCTTCTACTATTTTTTTTGTTGGAATTTAGGAGCCATGATTTGAAATGACATGAAATTAAAGAG